AGAATGATTTATTAAACAGTGTAACTAATGATGGTGCTAGCTGCGAAGCACATTCTCTTAGGATTCGTGGTGGGATATTATCAGGACCAGGGGACTTGTTGACGTTCAGACCTTTTAAATACCTTTCCACTTCCTGTTCAGTGCATTCGATAATAGCAAGCTCTTCCCAAACAAACCGTTTCATGCTTGGAAAATTATCGAAACTTTCCTTAGTAAACACTGATGAAAAATATGTGTTCATTATTTCGCTGATTTCCGTGTCGTCTGAGATCTCTTTATATACCCTCTACTTTCAATAAGACTAAATCGTTGGTACCTTTACGTTTCGAGTTGATATATTTCCAGAAAGGTTTTGCATTATTCCGCCTTAATTCATCTGCTAAATCAGTTATATACGTTCTTCGCGCTGAGTTACAATCCTTTTTGACCATCGAATTTAGTTTTCTATAATAATTCCAATCCCGAGATTTTCCCGACTTTTTTGCTTTCCTATAAGCAGCCTTTTTCTTTCTGCACAGGCGAGTTAAATCCTTTGATATCCACGGTGTGTTTTGCCTTCTATTCGTCACGTTGACCTTTGGTATACAATCGCGCCTACGGCTGCTAATAGAAGGTCTTTCCACATGCCATGGAATGTACGGAAGTATATTTCTTAATTTATTCCAATCAGCTTTTTTAAAAGAATAGTATTGCTTTGTGGTTTTTTTTGTTTTCGTACGAGTTACAGTAATTCAATTTGAAAGTAATTAAATTATGATCCGAAAAGGGTTCGCCCACTTGCACCTCTTGCACGTGATCGATCAATGTTGTAAGAATTAGGTCAAGAATGTTCTGGTCTCTTGTGGGTTGATTTACCAATTGACTAAAGAAGTTATCATAACAATTTCAATAAGTGAATTATGCAGCGGAGAGTCCCTTTGAGGGCTTGTAGTATTCCAGTCAATTTCGCTTATATTAAAATCACCAAGCAGTATAAGGTCCGGTGTCGAGATATTACTCAAGGTCCTCTGCAGTTCTTCCGGAGCGTACAACTCCCTATTAGGGTCTATAAAAAACACCGATTGTTATTTTTTTATTACAACTTATAGTATTATATCCACAAACAACAATTCCAAATCGCAGACAATATCGTCCCGAAGACTGACTTTCATTGTGTTTCTAACAGCAATTAAAACTCCCCCGCCGAACCGGCCATTATGTTGTCGATCACGTCGAAATATTACGAAGTTAGACGGTAAAATTTCCGTGTTAGCTATGCTATCATCGAGATGGGTTTCTATTGATACAACAATGTCAAACAGATGATCATTTTCGATTTCTATACATAGTCTGTCGGTTTTGTTGACTATATGCTTCGGGCATTAGCGTACAAGATAGGAATCTTCTTCGCTCGGCCGATGCTGCTTGATTGTTGATCTGTTTCGTTATTTATGGTGTAATTCGGGCCCGGGTTTGTGGCAACATCACCCGCTAGCAGCAGACTAACAACATGCAGTGAACTAACTGGATTGTTAAATGTAAGACTATACGTACATCCATATACTTAACTCCTGGGCCAAGACGTCGTTTTAATAACCTGTCTTGACCAAAACACCAGTATATGGAACTCTTTTTTGAATCAAATTTGTGAACTTTGCTTTAGTTAAAAGCCTAAAAAGAGTTTTAAAATCCACAACGATACTTGGGCGTGATGCTTCAGAAGAAGATAATGTAAATTTTTTGTATTTTTAAGCGGTACGGTATTCTGGACGTGTTTTTGACCGCAGTAGACAAGGGTCGCATCGCAAATATTGCCGATATGATATAAAGTTTCCTCAAGCATTTGAAGTGTTTTCTATGCAATCTAGCAGCACTTATGATAAAAAAGATGACTTAAATAATGAGCCATCTACGAGTGAAATAAGCAGGGCCGAAACTCCACAAACATACCACCATAAAAACTGAAGTTTGAACGGGCGTTTTGCGAAAACATCGGACGACGCACGGAACGTATTTTGACAAAAATGTTCATATTAACTGATCAAGAAGTCACAACCAGTAATTACCTAAATAGACTTGCCAGTTTTACATGTAATAATCCACGCTTTATAGTTGACCATTAACCGTCACAGTAAAACAGTATATCAAATCAATCATGCCTTATTGTTGATGAAATACCAGTACACAGCAAAAAATCATTTTCTTATTAAGAAAAAAAATTCTTAATTTAAGAAAAAAATTCTTAAAATAAGAAAATAATTTTCTTAATAAGAAAACATTTTCTTAAAATAAGACATTTTTGAATCCCAAGATATTTTTTTCTTGAAATAAGAAAAAATTCTTAACTTAATTTAGACTACATCTATTTTCTTTAATTAAAATAAGAAAATTTTTGTTATAATTTCTTAGTTAGCGTGTGAAAGCATTTTCTTAATAAAATACGATTTTCCTATTTTAAGAATATGTTCGTAAAACAACTTAAACAAGAAATGAAATTCGTAAAATAAGACATTATTTCTTAAATTTTCGAAGCAAGAAAATGTAAAATTTTAGTGTTATAGAACAACTTATCTTTAGAACAACGTATATCTTACATAGTCGTTAACTTGTTTATTTGTAGTTTTTATTTCGAATTGAAGTGACTATATGACCGGCGGCCGGTTACGGTTTATCAAATACTAAATGGCCGGCAGTAGCCGGTACAGTGATTATATAGTATCTTTTATGCAAACTTTTAAAAAATTTTACCGAAAAGAATTTTTACTATTAAAATGGTCTGAAAAAGACAATTTCGAGCTTTATTCTAAGCATGCAGTTTCCATGGTAATTTTCCATTTTCCAGACTTTCAACACAAAAGTAGCAAATTTCAATATTTAGGAGAGCATTGTCAATGTGTCCAATAGATTTCGTCTCCATATCATGTAAAGTGAAGAAACAGGAGTCTCCTGGATACTATAGTGTAGTATGATGCTAAAACCCTACGGAGCCACCTTAAGTGGCGAAAATATAAATATTTACAAACTTACTGTGATATTATTCTTTCGTAGTTAGTAATTCCGTAACAATAGGTGTATATTTTGCCGAGTGTTATTCCCATGCAGTAGAGAAAACTAGAAAAAAAGTTTTGCGCTTTTTATAACAATCTGTTCCGAAACGGCCTTTTATCACTCGTGCATGGTCACTCAATTGTGGTTAGTCGTCGTCCATCCATGGTCACTCGTGGTCACTCGTGTGTACTTTCAGTGAAGACCAACTTTTGATGCATTTTTCGGTTATGTTCATGAATTTGGTTTGTTGTTACAAAATAGTTTTTAAAGAAATTTGGTAACGAAACATAAATAAACAGTAAAATAGTCATTGATTTTGAAGATGTCTAGGATATTTAAATAATTGAAAATTGGCTCACTGAGACATGTACTCTAAATTAAACTTGAAAGTCATCATTAAACGTACAATTGTTTTTGCAGGCTATATTCATTATTTTTTTTGGATTCGACTTTTATAATATTACCTCATGTTAAGTTGCTATATATCAAGTATGGATAGACTAATGCATAATACATGTATATCAGTTTTAAAGCATTTTAATTTCGGTTTACGAAATGTCGTATTCCAGCAGCTCTAATTAATATTTTCTTTGTTACTCTAGCTATATGATCTTTCCAGGTCGAAATAAATTCGTCAATGATCATTGACAGTTGAAATATTTTAACGTTCCAGTTTCGAAAAGACGTAAACGTTCCTTGACAAATTATTGTAACGAAATAATGAATAATATATAAATAAATTAAACTAGTTTATGCAGCTGAGCTATATTGCATGGTCTGTGCACAGTTGATACTAAAATGTGGAAGACATAAATATCAGTTGCTTTTGTTTGTGGTACTATACCTGCGTATTAGTAGTAAATATAAAAAACAAATATATAAGACACAAGTCGCATACACATAAGACTTAACAATTGAAACCGCGTCTTATTTTAATGAGCTGCAAACTTGTGCTGCATATATGCCAGGGGTAACTTTTTAGCTTATGAACAGTTTTAGCTTTTCACATTTAATTTAATGAGCATTCTATTTAAAATATAGATTAATTTACTGAAATATATCTGCAAAGATTACAAGGCTCCTCAACAGTGTAGTCTGTAGACTACAGTGTGGTATTGTTCTACAGTGCAACTGACACATATAAACGCCCTAATATACACAGCAAAAACGCACAACTTGATCGATGTTGATGTCGACAATCATGAACAATGTTGTGCTGCGCGCCTTGGACAATGTTGTTAACAACCTTTAACAGCATTGATAGACCCATCAATGCTGTTAAATGTTCAACGTTGTTAACAGCATTGTCCGGGATGCATAATATTGTTCATGGCTGTCAACATGAGCGGTTTATCGGTGTTAATGTTAAAAATAAAATTCTGATTACCGGTCGAGATGCAGTAATTAAGCATGTCATGATCATGGGACATAGGCATTTAGGCATTTACAATACTGATCGGAAGTGGATATTTTACGAACTTAATTGTCCATGCAGCGGTGGACTCTAGAAACACAGTCTCTTCTTAGAAAGAAAATGGTATTGATGTTTCATTGATAAATTAGCTATAATTTGTCATTAGGTATATGCGCAGTAAAAGTACGTAATACAAACCTGATGAATCACTTTACGGAATATTTTCTCTGCTTGGATATTAACTTTAATTTCATGTTGCACGTTACTTGATTTATATAATTGATTATCAAATTATTCGCATTTATTGCCATTTAATATGCTTGTGGTTAGTTAAGCTTTATAGCACTCTATCATTAATTAAATTGCATGTTATAAAAGCTTAATTGACTTGTAACCGTTTCTTAAATAAATCATATCCTCAAAATCCCAATTTTCTTCATTAAATCTCATAAATTTCAAAGTTGAAATCGCATCGCACCACTCAAATCTTTTCACAAAGCGCGATCTCCAAATCTAATGAGATTGGTTAGTATGTTCAGTTCATTACCCTAAAGAAATTTTAGCGAATCCACAAATTTAGTGAGTATGTTGTAGCGACATTTTTATTTGCATCAGAACCAAAATCATAACCCTGTCCAGAACCAAACTTTGCTTCATTTTCCTCGGTTACTCCAATACCATGGTCTGCTCTGTCACAACCACTTCCTCCTCCACCAATCATCATCACTGCACCATTACCACTACTCCAATCACACCAAAACCCAATGTAGCTACTATTCTGTATGTCCCTGCTACAACTGTGCTGCACCTGCTGTAGTTTCGTACTGGCCGCCGTAAATAACTGGACAACTTCCAAGACACAGCTAGATCGATTGTCCAGACTGCACCATTACGAAAATTTCCATAACTTGTGATTTTTTATCTGAATGGCGCACCTTTGAAAAAAGAATGCTGCTCTCATACTTCAGTCTGGTAATATTGAAAAAGCAAACTACGGGAGCAAACTACGGGACTATTGCAATTAGAAGATATTTCTTATAGTATATTACCTCCGGCAAGGAAGTATACGATGTCTTTCTTTTCTGTGTTGGTGTAATTGTACTCAGGTGAATGTGATGTTTGTGATGTTACTCTTAGTGTATATCCACACCGGGAAAGCTTGAAAAATATGCCTGGCCACGGGGGGATCGAACCTACGACCTTTGGAATACTAGTCCAATGCTCTGCCAACTGAGCTACGCAGTCAAGTCGGTTCGAGTATGTGATATTTCGGAACAGAATCTAGTTTCTTCGATATCAATGCAATCTAGTAATCATGATTTTTTCTGTGTTGGTGTAATTGCACTCAGGTGATTGTGATGTTTGTGATGTTATTCTGAGTGTTAATCCACACCGGGTAAGCTTGAAAAATATGCCTGGCCACGGTGGGAATCGAACCTACGACCTTTGGAATACTAGCCCAATGCTCTGCCAACTGAGCTACGTGGTCAGGTCGGTAGTGGAATATGTGATATTTCGAAACAGAGTCTAGTTCCTAACTAGATTCTGTTCTAGAAACTATATTCTGTTCCGAAATATCACATACTCGAACCAACCTGACCGCGTAGCTGAGTTAGCAGAGCATTGGGCTAGTATTGCAAAGGTCGTAGGTTCGATTCCCACCGTGGCCAGGCATATTTTTCAAGCTTGCCTGGTGTGGATATACACTCAGAATAACATCACAAACATTATATGTCTTTACGCGCGGTGCATTTGTTTATCCATAGTTAAAAAAAACTATCAAAGTGTAATCTTAAAATTTATTTTTCTTGCCTGAAAAGAAAAGGATGAAAAATGTTTCGTAGTTCGTGTACGGAATAATTACTGACTTTCGGCTGATTGAGGTACAACTGCATGCATGCATGAACATGGATTTTGTATATGGAAGTTTGGAGTGCGAATTAATGCATTTGAGCTAAGTAGGTGAATCTGTGGAAAACACTGCGATATGAAGACCTTTGGTAGGAATAGATAAATAGTACCATAGACCTGACTCATAACATCACAATATCCAAGAGCCAACGGCGCGGAGCGCTGTTCCAGGCGTTAGGCCGGGGCGAGGGTACTAATACCGCCCGGATACTTACACCCGGAGAAAGGAACGCACAAGCGAAGTCTAAAGTTCATCAAATACCGTGGGCGCATATGGCTATGATTCAATGGTGGACCTCCTCACTGATCTCTGTTTGCCAGGAGTGGGATAAGATGGTTGTATGCCAGGAGTGGGATAAGCAGGCTTAGGATATTAAAGCAGATTTCAATTTTAAAAAGCATATATTTGGAAAATTACGTTTTACCATAGCAGCCCAAAACTGCGTGTAGAATGCACCAAATGCTTCCAAATGCCAATTTATATTAAGCTCGCCTCATTCCTCTGTCATTTGTCGCGCGTCGCAAGCACTCTATGAAAAGACGCATTGCTTATATATATATATATATATACTGTAGATTATACCTAAGGTGTGCAACTATATCTCAACTGACGAATATACAACTTCGGCAAAACGCATAATACTTCGCACACGTAAATAAAATATGATAAAAAATTATAGCACATTAAACTCAGATAACTTTTCTATATACCTGCACATCAATTTTGTTTTCAAGACTGGAAGAAAGCTGAAAAATTTGCACAAACATTTCATGGTCTGGCGAAAATTTTGATGACTCCATGCGGGATGCTAGAGGTCATTTCAATCGTCATATTTTCAAAAAAATTATGTTATTCAATTGGTTGAAAAAGTAAACAGTTTGCGACGTATTTATAGTAAAAATTTGGTTTCGGGGGGGGGGAAGGTTAAACAATGGGTTGAACTACAACACGAAGACTGCTAAAATACAAGAGCGATTTTTTTTCGAAGATCAAATGGTGGATTTTAAAAACGTTTTACATCCATCCATAACTTTAACTACAGCAAAACAACCAGACAACTTTTTGCTACATGTACAAGTAATGTCATAAAATCTGAGCAATAATGGCGGAGAAAATTTGCTAACAAGACGGCGATATGTGAACACGCTTCGTTGTGAACCTCAGAAAAGTTATAGGTATAAATTCATTTTATAGCGTTTTTAATACTGTAAGTGTAACTTGGAACAATAGGTTGGATCATTCATTTTTCCTAGTAATCAAATATAATATTCAGTATTAAATTGGTGTTTGTACTGGATCTCTAGGTTTGATTTTAAAAATTAAATAGCTATCTATATATATACATATATATAGAGCTAATCAAGCGAATTATTATAATTAGGGTATGGACAGTTTAAATAGTTGAAATCAAGTGTACACATGTAATCTGAAGAAGGGGCTTGCCCCGAAACATAATAAAAAGTTGTTATATGAGCTCTGATGTATCATTGATTGATTTATATAAATGTTGGGCTTTAGAGAAAGTTGGCTCAGTGATAGATTTATACATATATATATATATATATATATATATATATATATATATATATATATATATATATATATATATATATATATATATATATATATATATATATATATATATATATATATATATATATATATATATATAATATAAAGATCCATATAGAAGGGCCACTTACGTTACGTCGGAAGCTTTGAAGTTCCAGTCTTCGCGCATGTCGCATTACGCATGTTGGCCGCCATTTTCCTAGCCGGTCAATGACATTTTTTCTGGCCATAAAACGCTGTACTGGCTGGCTGCTCCGCCTTCTGGCCAGTAAGTCAATTTACAGTATTACTATCACATCTACATAAAACATTAAAAGCCAAATCTAGAAAACGAGTAAGTAATATTATACACAGAGGAACATTTGGAATCAAGTTCGAAAGCATTAATGTATTATCAAAAACAACACAATCTTCAAATGATCTTAATTGTATACCATATATAGACAGAATGTTTAGTACAATACAGTACTTTATAACTAAGAGCTTACGTAAATAATTAAAGAGTTCTTTTCTGGTGTTTGAAGCAGAACAAATACAACTATTTTGTTTCGTCTCTGAAATTGTCTGCTATTTAATATGCATTATGTTGACGAGTCTTTAATAGCGACTTAATAGCGCCATATAAAACCTCCGGAAAAAGATTAAACACTACAATATACATATAAATAAACACTTAAAACCTCCATTAAAAGTAAACTTTCATAAAACACAAAAGCAATTTTCAAATGACGTTAAACATGTTTGTCTTTCTCTTGTAGAAGTGTCTCGTTTGAATATTCCTCCATTAACTTCTCTTCAACATTGTCTAGACGCCATTCATGCGCGACTATTTCAAGAGCTTCCCACTCAGCCTATAAGTACAGGTACAAGCAAACAAGTGGCATATTAAGACTCATGCAAGTGGCTTTTTCAATGTTTCTAAGAGTGTGCTAAACTAAAAGTGTCACGCGAGCAAGACAAATCTCAAATTCAAATATGCGGAGAAAAAGAAAACGTTTTCATTGTGGAAAGATCTAATATGCACTGCGCGCATATCGACAAAGTGGCTTTATAATGTAATAATTGCCTTTATTTCGCGAAAAGTCATTTTGCTTGTTTTGTATTTTAGCACGCCTATATCAATGATTGAACGGCATTTATGTTTCCACTGCTACAATCAAGCACGTAGTTGTTGACACGAGCATCTTCAACTTTGGTATTATCTATTGTCTATACAGTTGTCTATAAGATAACGTTATCTTCGATTCGGGCTGCTAATTGTTGAAGGTGACTAAATGTAACTCGGGTTACTATACTTTGATTGAACCTGTTGTACCACATTTTGTGATAGAAGAAGAAAGTACCAAATATTGTAGTGGCGATTTAGGTTATTATTCAGATGCAAAGTTTCTGATCTCGCTACTTTCTACGTGAGAAGTTACGAAAACGCTCAATGACATTAAAATCTAAAAGTATACAGTAAACTGTATGTACTGTACGCTGTACAGAGGTGTATAAAAAAAACTACACAGTTGGAAAAAGTTCATTAAAGTCGGATGCGCGCGACATTTGCGAAAACTTTCAGTAAGCCTATGTACTTTAACGTTCTCTGGTACATCTAGCACTAAAATTATTTAAAATGCTAGCGTTTTTAGAAGGCCTTGCACAAAACAATTTTTCATCAGAAACCAAATTTAATCACACAGAGTCAAAATATGGACTGTTTGGAAAGTTTATGAATATGGTGCACGCGTAGGCCAACGCCAGATCTTCAAAACCTGCATTTTCTCCCATTTTGTAACAGAATGCGATTGCGGTTTAAACGCGATTTCTTTGCATGATTTCAAATTAATTTTATGCATGCTCGGACGTTGGCATAAATTACAGTACGAAATTCGCAAGCTAATTCCCAAAGGTCCTAAAAGAGTTAGTAACAGCGTTTATTTACAAAATTATTGACATGCAGTGTTTATTTACAAACAAAATCAATCTTCAACCTGCTCTCCTTTGTTGAAGATTGATTTTGTTTGTAAATAAACACTGCATGTAAATAGTTTTGTAAAAGGACCTTTGGGAATTGGCTTGCGAATTTCGCACTGTAATTATGCAAACGTCCGAGCATGCATAAAATTAATTTGAAATCATGGAAAGAAATCGCGTTTGAACTAACAAAATGGGAGAAAATCCAGGTTTTGAAGATCTCGCGTTGGCCTACGCGTGCACGAAATTTCTTGAAACTTTGATAGCTTGTGTAAGACAGTCCATATTTTGACTCTGTGTGATTAAATTTTGTTTCCGATGAAACATTTTTAGGCGCAAGGCCTTTTTTTTTTTTTTTTTTTTAGTAACAGCTTTCCTACTCTAAACACGCTAGCATCTTAGTGCCTCTCTCCTCCGCAGAGGCTTTAGTTTTCTTAGGACATTTCACTACACTTTACATGGCGGATCAGAGAACGTTAAAGTACATAGGCTTACTGAACGTTTTCGCAAATGTCGCGCGCATCTGATTTTAATGAACTTTTTCTAACTGTGCAGTTTTTTTTATACACCCTGTATATAAATCAGCTTTATTTATACACGTTCACCTAAAATGCCAGTTTCACAGGCGGCGATTTGTTTGGCTCGGGTGAAGGGGGTGGGCGTAGTCTAATTGGGCCCAGGGGCGTGTTCCCGGGAGAAAGTGTCTGAAATAGGATTTTCAGTGTTCTGGGGGATTTGACCAGCAGAAACTATGCCATTTTGTTGTCCATGAGGCAGCAAAAAATCTGGCACTTTTGGGAGTAATGGCAGCCATAGCATCCTAGCCCCCGGTTCGGCCACCTACGGCCAGTTTAACATTAATTACACAATTTTTTCTCAATGACAATTTTAAGGTGTATGTTAGGGGGCTTTCATTTATTAGAGCATAGGGGGGGTTGGCAAAATTTAAAGGTAGATTTGTAATTTTTTGCAAACCCCCCCCCCTCCATTCTATGTCAAAATTGAGTAACCCCCCCCCCATACCATATCTAAACTTTTATTAACAACTCCACCTCCCCCCCCCAACTTGAAATAAGAAACACCGTGAACTTTTCAAATAGCATGAACTTTGAACTACTATTTTATATATACAACATATTTAAAACTTTTAAAATGAAATATATTAAAACATGGATTGTTAAATTTAAATCTGAACTTTAATAAACATGCAATGTAGCATTGGTTTCATACTATTTAATAATAAAATCAATGAGATATGTCACTTCAGATGTCATTTACATCGTCGTCATCATCATCATCATTGTCATTTCCATATATTTTGTTCAATTTTAAGTGATGTTTTTTGCTTTAGTACAATTTAGTTGTAGGCTTTTAACGCTAATAGTCGTTGATAAGTATGAATATCATTACCTATTTTGTAATGCGACAGAAAATTGCAACGTTAGTGTCATTAGCGGAACAAACGAGGCAAACTAAATTCTGGGCGTATATGTTTATCGGACTTGTTTTGGTTTTCGGAACGATATGAAGCGGAACGTTTAGTGCCGTCATTGTTTGGGGGAACAAAAACTCTGTTCCTTTTATAAAGGAACAAACTAAAGCGGAACAGCTCATTCCTTTTTACACTTTAGGAACTATTCGTTCCGTTGCACGAGAAAGGAACGAAAACGCGTTCCTATTTTCGGAACTAAAGTTTTAAGTTGCAATATAACGCGAGATAGGAACAAGAATATACGTTCCTATTTTCGGAACTAAACCCAAAAGTTTTGCCCAATAATTAGCATGCAACCTTTCCTCAGCAAAGTCAGTTTTCGATTATTTGATCGGTATTGTTCGAAGATATTTCAATCGATATCGATACTAACTATTATAACATAGTGAAGAGCAGTAATATATTGTGTTGTTCTCCATGAAGTATATTATATATTGACGAGAATTGCACTGTTGTATGTGAAAGAGATTATACCTTAAATGGATTTGCGGTGTGTGAAAACTTTATGCTTCAACATGATTTATATATAAAAATTAGACTGATCAACTATTTTCAAAGCAAACATGTTATACGTATTATAGTCGCAGGAATAGAAAATAAGGCAACCGAGAATGCATTTAGTTTTGCGTGGAATCGTTTAAGAAAAATAAATAAGGAATAGAACTTCACAAATTTTATTCAACTATTCACAAAGCAAATTTAAATTTACAAGGTACATGAGTGAAATACACTAGATAAGTTTTTGTTGAATTGCACGAAGTCTAAGTGTCCTAGCTTCTCTACCAGGTTGAAAGTTATATTCTGGATGTCGTAGGATTGTGCACCATCGTGCACCAAATCTTTTAATTCCCCTTTCTATAAATTGATCCTCTTCTTTCGTGAATCTCAGGGGTTTGCGTTTCTCGGCACAAACCTTTTCTGTCGTTGTTTGTGGTATGGAAGTGGTTTCGTTATCACTTTTTGATTCGTGTTCGGAACAATGTTCTTGTTTTAACTGTTCAACGCAAGTGTCCATTTCTGCTCCGTGTAAGCCACGCAATTTTTCCATACATGTTCGCCCTTTGATAGCTACATCTCGAGAACGCAATTTCTGATAATGGACTCGGGCGACATTCGAACTGTGTTTTTGATCTTCAGAAACCAACTTCTGCTCCTCTACATTGAGGATTTGCACACTTTCAGTTTCAATGATTTGCCTGTATCTTGTGGGATGAACGTATTTTCCGATTGCCTGAAAGACTAATATACTTAAGATTTCTGTTAATTTTTGAAATTGAATGCCATTACGATTGACGAGCAAATAGTCGCACCTTGGTTGCAGAAATGGCCTAACATAGCGAACGTAATTGTCAACAACATCCAAACTAATTTCGTCAAAATATAAGGAATCAAAGCCATACTTTTTGGCAGTTTTGAATGTGGTTTGATCGACCATTCCTTTATTTCGTTTTGCACTCTCAAACATGCTAACCGTCAAATGCAGATACGTCATAGGCCTACAGCCTTTAACTTTAAAAAACATAAATACTGCTAGGAATCGGGTAGCGAATGTAAGATTCGTTGCGCTAACAACAGGTGATTTGTTTTTGCATTCGTCCAATATAATCTTATAACGTGGTATATGGAAGGGTTCGGCTAAGCTTGCCCAACTCCGTCTTGATTCAAGTGTTTCTATGTCAAGATCTGTCGTCCAGTGCGACCTCATTACCTTTGACAAACATTTCTTTGCTCTCTTGATGTAAACTTCAGTAACAGAGAAATTTTGCAGTACGGCGCCCGAGGGAGAGTTAAACTTTCGAAAATCTAACAGCTCAGATATGCTTGTTATGTAACCTAATTGGCCGGAATTTCCCATTTTCCAAGTACCCTGAAGATAATCAAGGAAACCCGTTAACAACTTCGAAGAACCAAGAAAATAATCTATAATTTCTAAAGACGAAGTCGCATTCAATTCGTCCTCGCCCGTTTCAGAACAACAAAATGTTATAAACTTGAGAGCCCTTGTTACTGAAATTTGTGATTGCTTTTCAGACTTGCCGCCCCCATGCAGCCGTACTTTGTAACCACACCGAAAGGGAACGACATAAATCATTTTCCGTAGAACAACAAGGAATTGTATGTTTGGCTTTTGATGTGATTACATTGCCTTTTTCTTCAACAGTATTTGAAATAACAATAGGTTTTTGATCGAAATATTTATACCAAGCGTGCTTTTCGTAAACATGCTTCCTGCAACCGCGACAACTGCTAAATCCAGGGTGTTCGCATCCACTTACAGGACAACGATATAAGTGATTCTTGTCTTGTTGCAAATGCAGTCTTCTTGGTTTGTCAAAAGCTCCATCAACCGATTTCCAATCCACCTTTCCAGCATGTTGACGTGGCATTTAAAAATGAACAACACCGACTAAGTGGCTGCTTATAAAGCACAATCAGACGTTGTACTTTGCATAAACGCATTCATGCATAACGCTCATTGTTGCACCGTACAATACATTTTCAAGGTAAATGTATCAAAGACATAAACCTATGCCATTACTTAACAGCTTTCGGTCTCTACAATTGTCCAAGCCCACATATACACTTTTAAATATTGAAAACTTATATTAGAATCCCTTGAAGCGCAATTGGGATTAGTAAGACCAATTGTATTGGTATGTGGCGTTAAAAGCTACATAAATCATGAACAGTTTCAATAAACTAACTTTAGATTTATATAAAGGGTTAAACAAAATGTGAGGATTGTGCTCTTGTAAAAAATTGGGATGTAGAGTGAAAAAAGTTTTTCCAACATTTCAACGTGTACCTGCTGTAGCCCGGCATCGAAATTTTTCTAAGTGTCGAGTGAAATTAGTTTTCCTAACATTTAACGGGCTACGGGCTACTAATACAAATCCCAACAAAAACGCCGGGCTACTTGTCAAAATCACGGGCTACCTCTTGCTGGTAGCCCGGCGTTGAAATTTTTCTAAGTGTCGACTGAAATTAGTTTTCTCAATTTGTAACGGGCTACGGGCTACTAATAGAAATCCCAACAAAACCGACGGGCTACCAACGGGCTACCTGTCAAAATCACGGGCTACCTCTTGCTGGTAGCCCGGCGTTGAAATTTTTCTAAGTGTCGACTGAAATTAGTTTTCTCAATTTGTAACGGGCTACGGGCTACTAATAGAAATCCCAACAAAAACGACGGGCTACCAACGGGCTACCTGTCAAAATCACGGGCTACCTCATGCTAGTAGCCCGGCGTTGAATGTTTCCTAAGTTTAAAATACTAATTGAAAGTTGAATTATTATATTGAGCATTGAACTGTGAATATTAAATAATAATGTTTGGTATAATATTATCTTTAATACATATAATAATATTTTCATTAGTTTCATAACAATTAGAATTTTATACTGATATATTTATAACAATTATTTTATTTATTTATATATAGAATTATAATATATTTATTGTAATATATATATATATATATATATTACAATAAATATATTATAATTCTATATATAAATAAATAAAATAATTGTTATAAATATATCAGTATAAAATTCTAATTGTTATGAAACTAATGAAAATATTATTATATGTATTAAAGATAATATTATACCAAACATTATTATTTAATATTCACAGTTCAATGCTCAATATAATAATTCAACTTTCAATTAGTATTTTAAACTTAGGAAACATTCAACGCCGGGCTACTAGCATGAGGTAGCCCGTGATTTTGACAGGTAGCCCGTTGGTAGCCCGTCGTTTTTGTTGGGATTTCTATTAGTAGCCCGTAGCCCGTTACAAATTGAGAAAACTAATTTCACTCGACACTTAGAAAAATTTCAACGCCGGGCTACCAGCAAGAGGTAGCCCGTGATTTTGACAGGTAGCCCGTCGTTTTTGTTGGGATTTCTATTAGTAGCCCGTAGCCCGTTACAAATTGAGAAAACTAATTTCAGTCGACGCTTAGAAAAATTTCAACGCCGGGCTACCAACAAGAGGTAGCCCGTGATTTTGACAGGTAGCCCGTCGTTTTTGTTGGGATTTCTATTAGTAGCCCGTAGCCCGTTACAAATTGAGAAAACTAATTTGGTAGCCCGTCGTTTTTGTTGGGATTTCTATTAGTAGCCCGTAGCCCGTTACAAATTGAGAAAACTAATTTCAGTCGACACTTAGAAAAATTTCAACGCCGGGCTACTAGCAAGAGGTAGCCCGTGATTTTGACAGGTAGCCCGTCGTTTTTGTTGGGATTTCTATTAGTAGCCCGTAGCCCGTTACAAATTGAGAAAACTAATTTCAGTCGACACTTAGAAAAATTTCAACGCCGGGCTACCAACAAGAGGTAGCCCGTGATTTTGACAGGTAGCCCGTCGTTTTTGTTGGGATTTCTATTAGTAGCCCGTAGCCCGTTACAAATTGAGAAAACTAATTTCAGTCGACACTTAGACGCCGGGCTACCAACAAGAGGTAGCCCGTGATTTTGACAGGTAGCCCGTTGGTAGCCCGTCGTTTTTGTTGGGATTTCTATTAGTAGCCCGTAGCCCGTTACAAATTGAGAAAACTAATTTCAGTCGACACTTAGAAAAATTTCAACGCCGGGCTACCAACAAGAGGTAGCCCGTGATTTTGGCAGGTAGCCCGTTGGTAGCCCGTCGTTTTTGTTGGGATTTCTATTAGTAGCCCGTAGCCCGTTACAAATTGAGAAAACTAATTTCAGTCGACACTTAGAAAAATTTCAACGCCGGGCTACCAACAAGAGGTAGCCCGTGATTTTGACAGGTAGCCCGTCGTTTTTGTTGGGATTTCTATTAGTAGCCCGTAGCCCGTTACAAATTGAGAAAACTAATTTAACTTCATACATATACAAATGTAGATGTTGTAACCGGTTGTTTGTGTATTAGTGAAGTTCTCTTTACATATAGCCTACAATATTAATTATGATACATGGTATATCAAATAGGTCGCAAAAACATCTGCTCATAACAATTCACACAAAAGTGACTATGCTTGTCATTGATACACGCGTTTTAAAATAAGTATATAAAGTGTCGCTTTAAAGTGTCTATAGTTGCATTAATTACCACGGTCTCCAGCTTTTGAAGGTTGTCCAATACGTTTGCGAAGGAACTTCAACTTGTTCTTCGCTCTCCTCTCCCCGTTCACGCCTTTCAATTTCTTGTAGTGCCTTCACGAGGGGGCATCGACTTCTTAGAATAAGCACTTTCACATTCTTTCGAACTTGTCCTATTTCTTCCACGATTTCACGGTTCTGTTGCACGAACGATTCGATGTTGAAAACATCTCGCTTTTGTCCAGTTACGAGCATCCAGGCATCAATGTTTGGGTCCGCAATAGTCCAAAAATCACGTTCTTTTTTTGTGCGCTTTAATTTGGCCTTGTCTCTTCGTTCATTAAACGATAAGAGTTCGCCTTTTTCATTTTCATAAAGCCATATCTAATAAAGCATGCGACTTTGGACATATACGTTTTGTCGTTCAATACCCATTCTGCTGGAGGTGAATAGGTACGAATAGTCTGTCTGGCTGTCTATAACTTCCTCATCAGGCGATGCTTCGTTTGTTGGTTGTGGGAGTTTTACCGGTAACAGTTGTTCTACTGTTACCGCACTTGCTTCTGTGTTGGCACGTGCGTTGTCAGTTCTCTCTGTTCCACTGTCCATTGTTTCCTCGTCATTCGATAGTTGGTCGTCATTTAACGGTTGTTCCACTGACACCGTAGTCGTCTTGCTGCGTTCGTTGTGAGTTGTCTCTCCGTCTCTACTTTCTGCTAATGTTGTCGACTTCGTTTGAGGGCTCTCTTTGACAACGTTGTCTTCAGTCAACCGGCATCCTTCCATGTCGTCCCTACGTTTCTCACCATCGGAGGAGGAGTTGTTATGTTCTTGTACTTCTTCACTTGTGCTATCGTCGTCGCTGTTTAACTCCCCACGAGCGGCCCTTCTCTTCCGCGCGAGACGTCGCGAACGTAACTCCACCGCAAAACCGTCGTGGATTGTTTGCGACAATTCCTCAACGATAGGAGCGTCCTCCTCGCGCAAATCAGCATTGGATATGCGTCGCACGTGTTCGTCACTGAACAGACTTTCCCCCTCGTTTGCAGCAATCGTCAACGGTCCAGAGTGATTTGGCTCGTACCAGAGCTCATGTCGATCGATGTGCTCGCGGTTCGCGTTGATTTCTTCCGCTATCCACGCAATGCAATCCATCGCGTGGTCATAAATCCACTTGTCGATTCCCGGTAGAGATTGAGGAAATGACGTTGTTGTGAATATCTCAATTCTGCGCTTCACGTTATCGTCTTCTTCTTTACCAAAATTCGGGAGGTTATTTGTGGTGATGTAGAAGGGGCTATTATTTAATACCGTCTTTGGTAGGCCGTGCTTTACCGCAGAAACCATCCATCCGCCTTGAAGGATGCATTTGGCAAGGTCGGATTGCATCGTGCTCGCCGACCACTCGTCCACGAGGACCAGCTTAGTTTCGTTGTTAATCATAGCGGCAGAAAATTGTCTCTCGTTTGTGAGCGACGCAATGTAGCTGGCGGGAATAACACGATGGAATATGTTGGACCAAGATGTTTTGCCCGAATCTTTGGGGCCAACCACTACCAATTTCCTCACCTTGTGAGGCATGCTGAACGCGAGCAGGCACTGATAGAGTTTATTCAGGAACCGTACTCGCACGTCGTCGTCGGGAAAGGAGTTGACAATGCCTTCTCGAAAATACCCAGGCTTCGGCGGTTTGGAACTGTCATATGGAACAAAAGATCTTGGCGACAGTTTTCCACGCATGGATTCCGGGATAGGACAGACGATGAACTTTCGGGCTTTGATCGAGAAACAGTACCCGTTTGATACTTCAATGAGATCCACGTCAAATTTGATCTGCTGAATTATTGCGCATGCTGGATGAGACAGAAGTCTATCGACCGCTTGAAAATGCTGAATCAGCTTGTCACGCAACACTTCGTTAGCCAGAAGTTTATGCAAGTAACTAGTTACATCCATCATTTTTACAAACGTTAAATTTGAACCCTCTGGTTTGGTGTAAATTTCTGAACGATATAAGGCGTGGTCGCATAACTTCATGCATTTATCGATGTTGTTTATCAAGGCGGCGACATCGTTGTTGGATGAGAACGGTGGATTGTCCAACTTTACAACGCATGCATTACCGAGATCAACAACAAGTCCGTCTGATTCCAGCTTTGTAACTGCTGTAGCCACACGATCCCGAAACTCGCTTTCGTTTACGACGATTATACAGCAGGGGACATTGGGGAAATGAGTTGAAACAAACTCGGGTTGATCATCCTCTTCATCATCATCTGACGGCGTTCCCTCGGAATTCTTGTAGCAATACGCGTTTGATATTTGGAGCATCTCCTGGATGGTGTTGTTGCTGTGATCCTTGACCACTTGGAATAACTGTTTTGCAGCTTTTTCCATTTCATTATTGCTATCGGATGATTTTCGCACTCGAATTCGCGATACCTCTGCATCTAATTCTTCGTTGTGAATGGTGGAAAACAAGATCTTCTCGTTGCAAGTTGCGCATTCCTTGTACACGACGAAGTAGGCAATCGCTGGGTAGCTTTCAGGCGTGTAACTTGCTTCGTTGTCGTCGTCTTTCGCGGATTTTGCGTTGCACATGACACTTGTAACGCAGGAAAAAAAGAATTGAACGCCGTTCATTGAAGAAACCACTTGGTCAAGGCGAAGTCGCTTTGAAGCGATCTGATTTCTTGCGATGTCAATGTCTGTTTCACGAACTCTCCAAACAGCACGGCATGCTACCGCTTCCAACTGTTCGGTGATCTAGACGAATTTAATAAATTGACTGCATGAATTGCCGTGAATTCAGCTGCATAACATGCTATTATTGACCACAGGGCCACTACAATGAATTAAGTTTGCTCAATAAACTTACCAATGGCAAAATGTTTGCTCGAAGTGAATCCTCGATCCTTTTCGAGTCCAATTGCTTGTGAGGTCGCGGTGGCATTTTTAAAATGATGATTTAATATACTTTAAAAAACAGCTGTTTCGTAAATCGTCTGTGATTTTTAAGCGTTTGGAAGTATCTACATTTGCATAGCAACGAAGTGGAACAATATATTTTACTTTGGTCATTATCATTATCATTATCATTATCATTATCATTATTATTATTATTATTATTTTTATTATTATTATTATTATTATTATTATTATTATCATTATCATTATCATTATCATTATCATTATCATTATCATTATCATTATCATTATCATTATCATTATTATTATTATTATTATTATTATTATTATTATTATTATTATTATTATTATTATTATTATTAAATATCTGGAACGAAGCTTTTGGGGCTATGTTAAAAATATAATCAATAGAAAAGACGCAGTAGTACCATCATTTAATATGACTGATTGCCTTTCTTATTTCTCTAAATCTCTGGCTAAAATTAATCCTAACAAGCTATTTGTAATTCCCAGCTGGATCCCAAAGTTATCTGATCCTGCAGTTCAAATTAACCTTGACCCCCCGACCTATCAACAAATTACGAATGTTATACGCAAAATGAAATCGTCTGGTTCTCCTTGCCCTCTTGATCAACTTTCTATAATAAGTTTCAAGCATTGTCCTTATCTGAGAAATTACCTTACTGAGCTAATTCACGATATTTGGCTATCTGGAACTGTCCCAACTGAGTGGAAAAGAGCATGTACCATACTAATCCACAAGAAAGGCAACAATAATGACCCTTCAAATTTCCGCCCCATAACACTCGAATCCATACCTTTAAAAGTATTTACATCTTGTCTCCGAAACGCAGTATACTCCTTCCTCGCATCTAATAACTTCGTCGAACACAACATACAAAAAGGCTTCACCCCCAACCTATCTGGCACTCTAGAACATACTGCACAAATGGCTGACATTATTAATAAAGCTCGGATCAGACAACGCTCTGTTGTCATCACCCTACTTGATCTTAAGAATGCCTTCGGCGAAATCCATCACAACCTCATTCAATCCGTATTTGACTACCACCATATCCCTGATCATATCAAATTTGTTATAAAAAGTTTATATACTGATTTCCAAACCTCGATAATTACCTCTGAATTCCGCACTCCTTTTATGACAGTTGGCCGTGGTGTATTGCAAGGAGATTGCCTCAGTTCTCTTCTTTTTAACATGTGCTTCAATACATTCATTCAGCATATCAAGGCTGAAAAGTACCGTCAATTTGGGTTTTCCTTCAAATTACTAAATCCCATCCATTGGTTCCAGTTTGCTGATGACGCGGCTGTAATTACTGGCCAAGAATCCGAAAACCAACATCTATTAAATCGATTTTCTATCTGGTGCCAATGGTCCGATATGATTATCCGAGTTGACAAATGCAGTACCTTTGGCATTAAAAAAGCGATCACAAAATCAGTTCAGTACTTGCCAAAACTCCTCATCAGCAATCAACTAATACCAAAAATCACCATTGGAGAATCATTTCCATATTTAGGACGTTACTTTGATTTCCACATGTCGAATGATAATCACAAAACTGAACTAACCACCCTACTTAATGAACTAGTGTCTGATATTGACTCAAAGCCACTACACCCCAAAAATAAACTGCTCCTCTACAGTCGCTACGTCTTGTCCAAGTTAGCCTGGCACTTCACCGTCGCAACACTCTCTAAAACATGGGTTACTGAAAATATCGACTCTATTGCCAACAAATATATCCGCAGATGGCTTGAAGTACCAATATCAGGAACACTAAGTACTGTCTTTCTAACAAATAACAAATTTGGCCTGAGTATTTATCCTCCATCCGTAAAATTTATCCAGTGTCAAACAGTCCTCCGAAAAGCTTTAAAATCTTCTCCTAATGAATGAACTAACGACCTGTGGAGAGCAACCAGTAACCATACTAATATCCAATATGACGCTTATAACTCTACTAAGGAAGTTCTCAAAGATTTCCGTTCTGGACACGAAAACAAACTCCTAAACCAATTAACCAGTCAAGGATCCTTTTTCTGCAGCGTCACGAAGTTCGCTTTACCTCAGCTTAGCAAGGTGTGGTCCGTCGCCCAATCAAAGCTCCCGAAAAACATTTACAACTTTACCATTCGTTACATTAACAACTCTCTTCCTACGCGCAAAAACCTAAACAGATGGGCAATATCTTCAAATTCAGACTGTTCTTTTTGTCTTAGCCCTGAAACATTACTACACATAGTAGCTGGATGTCAGTTTTATCTCGACCGATTTACGTGGAGACACAATTCAGTCCTGAACTTTCTTGCTCATCAGTTACAAATTGTTGACGGTTCTACTCTCTACGCTGATCTAAATGGATTCAAAAGCCCTTCAATACTTACTGGTGATACGTATCGCCCAGATTTGTTATTATCATGCTCAAATGGTTCCTTATATGTGGTTGAACTCACCACTGGTTATGAGACAAACCTCAAAAACAACGTAATACGGAAGAAGGATAAATATAGAGAATTATTGAGACAGCTAGGTAAAAATTTTAACCAAGTTAAATTTATAAATCTCTCCATTAGCTCTTTAGGTATTTTTGCAGAAGAATGTTATACATTTTTAGACATGTTAGATAGCATTGGTCTTGACAAAAACCACCAAATGTACTGCGTTAGGAAAATGATGGCTATTGCTATTAGAACTACATATTACATTTTTGTTGCCGAAATAAGGAATGGGAAAATCCGGATTTACTAACAATTTGACTTATCTCATTGTATATATATATATATATTGCATGCACTTTGTTCTGTTATTTTAGTTTAGTATAATTGTGATTCAAATAGCCAACCGTAAGTTACCTTTATGAGAGAGATTTACGATTGTATATGTATGTAAAGAAAAACATTTAATAAAGTTTCCATTATCATTATTATTATTATCATTATCATTATCATTATCATTATCATTATCATTATCATTATCATTATTATTATTATGATTATTATTATTATTATTATTCGCAAATGCGTTGAAAATGTATACAGCAACTTTTATTCATCTGTGGTTACTGATGCATATCAAACGCCTTTCATCAGAGTTAATAGAGGAGTTTTGCAAGGCTGTTGTCTTAGCCCGTTGTTGTTTAACATGCTAGTCAATACCTATATTCAATGTATAAAGTCTGACAGATTTATTCAACTTGACTTTACGTCTTCACAACCCCTACTAAGGCCAAAGCATTGGTTCCAATTTGCCGATGATGCAGCTATTACATCTGGTGAAATGAAATTGCTCAAGCGTGAAATGAAATTGCCGTGGAGGAACTAGATGAAAATACGAACAAAATCACCAAATTTTGCTTTAACAAAAGAACTAAATGAAAATACAAACAAAAGCACCAAATTTTGGTTGAAAGTCTGGCGGGACTGGGCTTTGGCGAGAGAATATGATGCTGACATTGAGAAGTACGTATCCAATTTTGTCATGTTAATAATAAACAAGACGCCGACTCGGCGTTAACCTCGGGTCGGTGGATAGGGGATCGTCTGGTAAATATCCAAAAATTGTGTAAATCACGATAGTTTAATAGTTCACTAGTATAAATGGTGAATCAGTTAATCAAAGCTCCGTTTTAATATTTTATTGACAATAATTACTGGCCCTCATCAAACCTATTGTTTTCTCTCTGCATTATATCAGCGAATGTCGAGAAGTTTTCATTTAACGTTCTACTGAAAAACGGGAGCGGCCTTTTTGGTTGTATAGGGAAATTCCGGCTCAGGGGTAAATGTTTATACGCGTCATCGTCATATTCTATGTACGCGTTAAAATAGCACACAACATTATTAAAAATAATTAATGCAGCGTGCATCAGTGCACACAGACATTATTAGCAATAATGCATCTTCGTCACCCTGACATGTACACGCGATAACGTGAACATCCCAAGATGAGAAGGTGACAGTGCTAAAGGCCCCCCATACGGTGTCGTCGGGTGCCTGAAGCACTGTTGGAAACGGTCTCTGTAAGTCTTTTCAGTTCAATTTTATAGAGAAATAGTTTCGTTTGCGCTTGTGGGATTTTATCCTAGATATACGCATGTGCAGAATACACCATAAGTTCTATTCCCGTGTTTATCCTGTAATGTACTCAGGTGAATAAGATGTTTGTGTGATGTTACTCTGAGTGTATATCCACACCGGGCAGGCTTGAAAAATATGCCTGGCCACGGCGGGATTCGAACCTACGACCTTTGGAATATTGGAATACTAGCCCAATGCTCTTGAGCATTGGGCTAGTATTCCAAAGGTCGTAGGTTCGAATCCCGCCGTGGCCAGGCATATTTTTCAAGCCTGCCCGGTGTGGATATACACTCAGAGTAACATCACACAAACATAGAACACTACAATTGACCTCCGCTTGTGATACGGTCCCGACAAGCAGCAACGTACAGTAGTCTTCCAGCCGAAAATAATTACTTTTGATTCGGGTCAGTAATTATAATAGATACTATCCATGGGGATTGTGAGCTAGACCGCTGCACCTCCCCTAACATTTTTTTCCACCTCCCCCCCACTATTTTCACCAAATCCGGAATTGATTTGCATCTCTTTGCCTAGTTCTAAAATTAGTCTATAATGAGAATTGTCTATTTCCATGAACATAAGAGACTTTTTATTTGGCTTCCATTTATGAATTAATATTAAAGGTCTATAAACATTGTTATTTGTTGTTAAGTTGTTTTTACGTGATACATTTTTAAAACTTACGACTGTTTTTTCAAACTGGTAATTTTTTTCAAAGCCCCCCTTCTTTCGTCTCTCTGTATTTTTCCCAAGCCCCCCTTTCAGGTTTTAAAAAATTTGAAGGCCCCCTCAGTTTCTCCTCAATCCCCCCCCCTGTACAATAAATAATGAGCGGTTCCTAAGTTGAAGTTCTGAGAATTTCAGAACTCTTTCGCATCCAAGAGATAACATATTACCTATAATCAAATTTCTCATGAGAGTGAAACGCCATTTTTGTATAATTGTCCGTGTTTGTATATTTTAAACTCCAATGTAAAATAAAAGATGTATGCTTTCAAACATCAAACCTCGCATCAGACTTTTAGTTCCACAAGCGAAACTTTCAGTATAGGCCATACGCTTGGGCGTACCGGGCGGGGGGGGGGGGCAAGGGGGTGGGCGGCAGCCCCCCAGTTTGTTGGGCAGTCGGGCAATATTCGCTGAACAGTCGGGCAATTTTGGTTTATTATAAAAATAAATGGGACAAATTCTGTAAATTTTGTGGTCAATTTTGTGATGTTTCGAAAATTTTTGTTAGGTTCTGAAAAATTTTGGTATGTCCGGAAAAATTTTTTGATCCCTAAAATGGTACACTGACCGAAATTTTTTGGGTCGCCAAAATAAATTCGGGAAAAAATTTTTTCGGTACTTGTCGGGCAAAATCCGGAAAAGTCGGGCAAATTTCTTTCCGCCCCCCTAAATTTTTCCTTCCGGTACGCCCATGGCCATACGGCATAGCCATAGGCGAAATTTTTCAGTTTTGACAGCAAAACTAATTGTTTTGCCATGTTTAATGGTTGTAAAACTTTTAAAATGGATAAAAATTTAGTATTTTCGACTTTCGACCTCGACTTTTGACCCTCGACCTCGAATTTTGACCCTCGACCTCGACTTTCGAACCTCGACCCTCAACTTATGACCCTCTACCCTCGACCTATGACCCTCGACGATTACCCAAACTCCACTTGAACACAGAATAAGGCACACAGAAGGGCCCCCTGGCCGCCATCTTCCTAGCCAGTCGATTACATTTTCTGGCCAATAAACGCGCTGTATTGGCTGAAGGTCCCGCCTTCTGGCCGGTCAACTGCATATTTTTGCATAGAAAAAATGGCGACACGTTGCACCGCTGAGCGGCCCTTCTGGTACTGATCTTTATCCACATTCCAGTCACGTGTGTTGTCTTGTAGCTTGTTATGTATATTGTTTATCAGTGTCATTGTAAATATTTGTGACAAATTTAATAATATATAATATATATTCTGTGACTCGGAGTCTTGGACTGTACGTGTACTAAGATGAAGTACTGCCTTTGCATATAAATCGTTCCGCTTACAGCTGACATATAAACACAAGGAATACTGGCGCAGGAATGGAATTTTAGCGCTCTTGTTGTGGTTTTCAATTCAGAACGGTCGTTTGCAGGTCATCCCAAATATGAATTTAACAATTTCAAGTAGAAAACATTGTTTTTAAGTGGTCTGGAAGTATCGAAGGAGGTTGGTAGTTGCTTAACAATGGACAAATATATTCGTGTGAGGAAAATTGGAGAAGGTTCATTTGGGAAAGCTTTGCTTGTCAAGTCGAAGACCGATGGCACACAGTATGTTATCAAGGAAATCAATATTTCAAAGGTAGTAGTTAACTTATTTATTTGTGTACATCTTTAATAAATACTGCAAGTCATTTGTCTTTTAAAACCACGCTTTTATTATAGATGGCAGCGAAAGAAAGACAAGAATCGCGAAAAGAGGTAAGGTTGTATTTGTTAATACGTCTCGACGTTTTTGTTTGTTATAATTTGTTATAGTCGCAGTGTGCACTCTGTGAATTTGGCCCACCAGATATTTTGGCCCGCAATTTGAACGAATCACATAATTTAATTTCCCAAAGAATCAAAGTTGATCATTTAGTTACGATCACTTGTCTGCAATAATTTAAAAGCAATGTTTATAAATTAATAAAAAAAATAATACAATCATGACTTACTTTCAGTTTTAGTAGCCGATTACATGAGCCGAGTTGCCCAGCTAGCCGAGGTGGGACAATTTTACAGATACCGCAGCTTATATAGTAAATACTATTAAAAACAATGCGATTGCATAGGAAAAGGGTCAATTCATCTAGCCGAGACCTCACTTGTTGATAATTACCAAGACAACTCGGTTAGCTGAGTTGAAAATTTTGCATTTTGACCAGGGGCGTAGCGTGACCTTTTTAACTGGGGGGTGTAACATCTAAGTTTTACCGACGAGCACGTGCCACTTGAAACGAAAGAATCTGTTTTATCCAATGGTCTCATTTTCAATGATGTCAACTACTTACTCAATATGTTTTGTGCTTAGTAGGGTTGGATCAGTACAGCATGCATTATCCCATAGTTGCCAACTTTGGCGAAAAACATGCGTGAGATTTTGTTTTGGGGGACCCACGCGCCACAAGGCGCCACCATGGTTGGCGCCGAGCGAAAATTTTCCGAAAATATGGAGTCTCTAGATCGTTGGAAATGGCATTTTCAGAGTCTTCTGCACTTTATACACACAAGTTTTGGTAGCTTTTATTTATATTAAACAAAACCATATTGTTGAATACCCACGAGGTTGCATGTAGAGATGTTTTGATTATGTATTTCAGAAGAAAAAAGTTTTATGTAATTTGATGCAAATAAACTTAATGAAAATAGTTAAAATGTGCAACAAAGCCAACATATTTAAGAACCAGTTGTTAATATTTGCAAAATCCGTGAGAATCTGTGAATATTAACAAGCTGTGAGTGTGAGCTCACCGTGAGTTTTAGTAGAATTTGTGACCGCCCCTTATATGCTACATATACCATCTCTGATATACCATAACAGCTATACAGCAATTGACAAATATAAATATTTCGGCGTTTAATTTAATGACACTTACCGTGACTTTAGTCTGCCGTCAAGAAATAACGTAAAACCCGAAACGCAGCAAATGTTTCATTAATTGGAATAATTGTTGTCTTTGTTACTTCGCGATAAGTCATTTTACTCAATGACATTTATCTTGTTGTTTATTGTAATAAACAGACTTGAAAAATTGGCGAAACATTTTATGAGAACCGCGTGTCAATAATAAATATATAAATATAATCTTTCATTCTTTGGCGTATCATTGTCAAGGTCAAAAGTTCGCGCACAGTTGAGCATGTCCAATCAGAACCGACTGTTTTCGCAGCTCTTGCAAGTGTAATACGATAGGAAATTAGGGGCTGCAATGCTTATGCGTAGATATGTGATTACTGAAGAATTACGTATATTACGAATTATAGTACATGTTGCATAACTTTATTGGAGAACAAGGCACAACATTCATTTAATTTTATTGATTATTAAAAAGCCATTTACCGAGGAGCAAAATTCCACTTTAACCGATTTGTTTTACCGACCGCTGTCATGGCTCTTGCCATTACCGAGTAACTTCTCGTTTTACCGACTACGCCCCTGATTTTGACCAAAGCGGGCTGAAAAATCACTCTGTGCACTGTTTTAATTTTGAAAATGTAAACAATTATAAGTTTAAAAACTCAAACTGCATCAAAATGTTGTTTTAAGTTTTAGGACAGTGAAGGGATTGCATTTTATGAGAGTGCAAGCGAAAAAAAAAATGCTGTTGGGGCCAATACTCTGCCTTGTACCCAGGCGTCTCTTTGTAAAAAGACAGTGATGCGCATAAGACGAGTTTACATGAAGTATTGTAGTGGGGATAGATGGGCGAAGGGGCTGATGGCTACCTACCTGAATACTTCATGTATTGTAATTATTTAAAGCGCCTGGGTACGAGGCAGGGCCAATACTATAAAATATAATCACTGCTATCAACACCATCCTAAAATGAGCTTAATTTGAACACCCCTATTAGCCGGGTCAACCCAGTACATGTAATTGTAAGTGACAAATCAACTTGTTTAGCCGGAACAACTCGGCTACAAGGGCGGATCTTCATTTTTTTAAAAGGAGGGGTGGAAAAATTTCTAGTGGGGTGCAAGTGGCACCACTGAGCAAGATTCGGCAGGGGTTAGGAGTTAGGGTTAAACATGGTGGGGTTGAGCACTTTATAAGAGGGGTTAGAGAGATTCTAGGGGGATTAAATTTCCCAGTAAATCCGCCCATGCTCGGCTACCTGGGACAACTCACTCCATGTGATCAGCCCCTTTTAAAGGTGGTATAAAGTGATATAAAGCCTGGATCAAACAAGGCTGAGAGTGCCTGAGAGTTCAAGACAGTAATAATAGTAATAATAATAATAAGAACTTTATATTTAATTAAAGTGTCAAAAAATGATAGCAGTATAAAACCACTAAGTATGGACACTATCTACATAAATGAATAACTAATTTCTAAGTAGGTAAATTCCTACAGATAAAATATTTACAATACTACTATGTACTACATACTGAGCAGTTCTTCCTACAGTCGTCACTAGCCATTAAAGCTTCTAAATCAAATTTTCTCATTTCTCTTTTAAATAATTTTAATGACTGAATAGTTCTTATGTTTGCTGGTAGCTTAGACCATAGTGGTGGTTGAAATATCTAAGAGAATGTTTACCGTAGTTCACTGTATAAATCTAGGGATACAAAAGTCCTTTTCTCTTAGGTTATATACTGTTGAGTTTCTAGAAAACATGTCTTCCATGTACTTTGGGCAGATCTTAGATTTGACGGTATACATGATGGTCGCAATATCTTTGCAGTCTTGTATTTGATAATGTAGGTAGCTTAGCCCATTCTAATAACTGCTTATAAGTAGTGTTCCAGTCACATATATTGCCCGTAAGGCTCTTTCCTGGACGCGATCTACCTATCGGGTATCACTTCCCCTACAATAATGCCAAATCATACTTCAATACGTTAAGTATGGTGGGATAGCTGCTTTATATAATTGGAGTTTTGCTGCTGTAGGAATCATGTTCCGTAGTTTCATGATTACTCGGCCTACTCTCTGGCTAGATTTTTTGCAGACTTCACCAGGGTTCGTAGCACTCTTTGAAATCTTTGAAAGTCTTTAAATTTGAATGCAGGTCTTTGAAAAGTCTTTGAATTGTGTGAAAAAGCGAAGAAAGTCTTTAAAAGTCTTTAAATTCTTTAGTGAGTGTTTGATTATATGATTTTCTAGCTATTAAAATAGATTGATTGAAGCAAGATTTTTGCAAATATCGACGAAAAGGCGCATTTTAGGATGTGATCTGACGGGACTAATTACTGGGTAAAAATGGTGCTTACACTCGCAATTTTTCGACAGCTGATTGCTCTCAAAGATCCTTGAAACGGTTTTGAAAATAGGCAGAAAAAATCTTTGAATTTTTTTTGTCTTGGAGACTACGAACCCTGTTCACTTATGATCCCTAAAAATTAATTGGCAGTCATTGTTTACTCCCAGTAATTTAATACTTTTGTAGGGAGTAACTGTGTTGCCTTGAATATCAATGTTCATATTGAGGTCTTTTTTCTTGCTGATTAACATGCTACCGTACCTCGTGAAATTCCCGTGTAGATAATTTGCCTCGTACCATTTGGATGCCATGATAGCGCTTTCTTGCAATCTGTTTTGAATAATCTCTATATCCTTGTGTGTTTCAAACAATTGATGATCATCCGCATACATACAAATGCTTGATTTCATAACGTACAGTATGTCAAGTCATTCTGAAATAAATTCCACAGCATATATGTGGGTCCAAATGCTGACCCTTGAGGGCAGCCTCTTTTCACCCGTTTCCATGTGCTCGTTGTGCTTCCCAACTTCACTCTACTGTAGCGATGCATAAAATACGAAGACATAAGTTTAAGACTCTGTTCATCAAAGTTGTAAGCTTTCAGTTTCGCTAACAGGAGTGGTGGAAGCACACTATCAAAGGTTTTGCTCATATCTGTCGACAGCAAACCGACGCACTCTCCATTATCCAAAGCCTGTCTCCAGCTCTCTGTTAAAAACAAGAGCGCAGTTTCGCAGCTATATATGACGTTTCCTGTAAGATATTCACTCAATCGACTATCAAAACTTTCAGTTATTTGTTTAGTACAGTAAGTACTTTTTCAAAAATTTTATTAATTAATGGCGATTTGAACAGTCACTGGCCGATAATTTTCTCTTTCAAGTTTATCATCTTTCTTGTGGACTGGAAGAAAGATGATAAGACTTTCTTTCAAGTTTATCATCTTTCAAGTTTATCATCTTTCCACTCGCCTTTTTTCCAGTCATTCAACACAAATATTATATAAATTCGTTAATGGTAATGCTATTTCTGTTGCCCCCAACTTCAATGCCTTAGGTGGTAATTGGTCCCATCATGTAGCTTTGCGCGGATTTAGCCCCTTCAATGCTTCTTCCACGTCCCTTGTTTCCACCTTAAGGAATTTAAAGAATTGATTGTCCGTAGGATTGGAATCTGTAATGGCTGTCACACTACTGTGATCACCAAAATCATCTAAGGAGTTCTTACAGTATTTGCATCAACTTGGCCAATACCATCAGCTATTGTTCCAAAATACTCTCCGAAGACCTCTGCAATATAATCTCCTCCTTGTCCCTACTAACTTGACCATTGATATTGATATTGATATTGAGCTTGATATCTGAATAATCTCTGCATTTCGATTTCGACCCCAAAAAGGGGGTGAATGTTTTATAGAAGTCTTGGAGGTTGATCTTTAGTTCCTCTGATTTTCTTTTCCAATAACGCTTAATTGCCTTCCGTCTGAGTCTTGTCGCTTCATTTCGTAACTTTCTTAGTAATTCCCAGTTCTCGAGTGAGTTGGTTTTCCGGTACCGTCTAGCCGCCCTACGTCTTGCCCGTATTTCTTCCATTCTATGGTCATGTAGGGGACATCCTGTTCCCTAACCCGCATCTGTTTACGTGGCATATGCTCAACAGGTTTACTTAGATGTCTTAATGCTTTCCCAACATCATGTATTCTGTTTAAGTTAAAACATAGTTCGAACACTCATTGAATCTTTATTTAATTGTTAATCTACAGGTATATCATGCTGTAACAATATGTAACTGCCAACTCTTAGATCAACCCTCATCCTTGTTTGATCCAGGCTTAAAATCGTGGCCGTCATGAGGCTGCATACATGTTCTATCGATAATGATAAATTACTGTGGAAATGGTGGTCTTACAGTCAGAAATCTTGCATTATATTCTTCACCGGCTTGCCATAGGAATGCTAGTACTGCAAAATGATTGATAAAAACATGTATGATGGTCGAAGTACAGCAAGGAATGCATGTTTTACAAGTTTTAAATATATTTACATATTTAACGATAATATTTAACTAAAGCATTCTGAGTATAATTTCTCGTGGCTCGTAAATCAATTAATTGTTTCAAGAAATCGACAATACTGTAGAAGTTCATCTAATCGCTATTCGAAAAGCAGAAAATGTATGGTCAAGCAGATTTTTAAGAGGTGGGCTGGACTTCTCTGGTGGGGGGTGGAGAGGGGGTGGGTTAAACACCACTAAGTGGGTTGCGCATCCCCCTGCGGATAGATCTGCCCCTGATATTGCTGCCTAGTTATTTTGTTGTGAGCTGGCCCGCTTGCCAATATCTTGGTTGAAATTGCTCAGCTCATGGGTAGGTAGGATGAAAATTTCCTATATGAACACACCATCGCACTTTCGGATATAAAAATGTTTGCAGTCATGCAGATGGGACAATAGCTGCTGACTGGAATAGTACGCCGAATGCGTTTGCATTTTTAAGTGTTTTGTCAAGAAAGCTATCGTCCTTTATAGAAGCCTAGCTCAGAACACTCAGGATGTTTTTCCACATATATATGGTTTAACTCCGCTCATGTGAAATTTGCTTTTCAGGTGAAAGTTTTAAAGACAATGCAACATCCAAATATTGTCTCTTACATAGATTCATTTGAAGGTATGTCAAATATCTCTTCGTAATGTGCCTTTATGCACACTACTTACGTTATACAACATACATGAAGGTCGATAGAATTTTTCTGAAATTAGTCTAGCTTGTAAAAGCATGGTTTCTGCGGAAAACTGTTTTTTGAGATAGAAGTTCCTGGGGGAGGGTGCGCGGATAGCAAAAAACCTTGACGTTTCCTCCAAAAAATTAATACCGAATTTTGTTTTGCATTTGTTTGATATGTAATTTAAACATTTTTTTACATCTAAAAATTGCCCCTTGTGATCAAAACTTGGATTATGTTCGCAGTATTGGCTATTTGTTTACTTTTGGAGATCAAAGTTTGAGGTCCAATTATTTTTAATGTTTGCAAATTACCCAGCTAATTCTTGGCTGTTGTTTGCAGCCTTGTATGATGATTAGAATTTAGTTTAGTCCACAATAATAGATCCTTTCAATGAAAGGAAATTAAAAATAGTATATTTGATTACTTTTGCAGTACAGTCAGTACATAGGTAGGGTGCAATACCAGGTCAAATTGCAAAAAAATTTACCGATTCCTCCAAATTCAAAATCACATTGTTTTGCTCCTGTTAACTAGTCTCTCCGATTATGAATAAAGAACAATATATTTTACCAAAAAAGCTATAAAAGTGTACATCTTCGAATTATTATCTATCACTAGTGACTAGTATCAGTTCGTCTTGTTCGAGCCTTAGAGAGCATGCTCTCGACCCAGTCTTTTGTCTCGGCCGGAAACTGCATTACTAATTAATTATGTCATAAATTGACAAAACTAAACATTAATAATATTCTTCTCAACAGCTCCCAAAGCACATAGGAAACAGAATTTAACAATCAATTTTGTTGAAAAATTGCCCCTAATTTCGCTTTGAAATGCGTGGTTTACTGCTCTTGTATGAAGCAAGAGTTCGAAAACATTCGAAGTACTGTAAAATGTACATAATAGAGACCTTACGATTTTAGGACGGCAACGCGACGGCGACGGCCAAAACAAACTCCTTCAAATAAATGGTAGTAAAGACAGTTCGTGGTATATTATCAATCGTATGAATTTAATACAGTTTTAGAAGTGGAAGACATGGGTTTTGTGGTTGGGAAGAGTTCTGCTAAACCCAGTTTCAAGTTGCACTTGTTGCGGCTTGGAATGCAGCCGTTGGTAATCGAGACTGATCGTCGTGATGTGAGGAGCTTATTTCGAAGCTCCTGTTCTGATCAGTATATGTATGTATGTTTGTTTCTTCGAATAAAATATCTTTTATAGCAACCTTGTTTGTACTTGTGTTTGTATATCAACGTGTTAACATGGCAGAAATAGCTCAAATCGAGGAAGTATTGAAGAAAGAATTGGCGCCTGTTCACGCTAAGCTTGCTGCGGTAGAAGGAAACCTCAAACAAATGACCACGTCCTTAGAATTCTTATCGACAAAATACGATCAACTGCTAGAACATTCCAAGACCACTAACGAGAAAATAACAGGGCTTACAAAAACAACTAGAACCATTCAAGCAGACATTAAAATCAACAGAGATATGACTCTCGAAGCAAAAGGGGAATCCGACGAGCTAGCACAGTATCTGCGAAGAGACTGTCTTGAAATTTCAGGAGTGAAACCAAACGCAGAATACAGTAGCGAAGCCATCGTAGAGAGTATTGGCAAAGTATTGAAAGTTAACATCGAAGAAAAAGACATTTCAACCGCCCACCCATTACCTACGTTCAATAAAGATGCCTTACCGAAAATAATTGTGAAGTTCACTCGCAGAAATGTACGCAACAAATTCTACGCTGAAAGAAAAACTCTTGCTGGCAAGAACCTCAAAGATAATCCACATGTCAGAAAATTTCTAGTTGGAGATAGTATATATATTTCAGAATCGCTTACCCCTCGAAGAAAGAAGCTATATGGCGATATTAATAAGTTTCGAAAAAAGTTTAAATGGAAGTTTATCTGGTCTCATAACGGACGAATTTACATAAAGAAGAACGAAGCTACAACCGAACGCTATGCTTTTGACACTGCTGATGACCTTGCTAAATTTCAACAACATTTTCAGGCACTCGGCTAAACTGGCATTATGTACGATCTTGTAATAAAGGTATATTTAGCCTATTGGTATTACTTTTCTCCTTCCAACATGCATATCTTTTGCAAAACTTTACTAAGTGTATTTTATTTGGGTGTGTTTGTCAAAACCTTTGAAATTAATATTAGTATTTTCTTTTGTGGTAATGCTTTAATGAAATTTTATATATGCAGTGCAATTACCTGTAAAATTTAATAGTGCTATTATTATGTTAAGTGAGTTACCCTACTATAATCTTACGGATGAGCAATTTACAAAAGAAATAGGAGCCTGGGTGTATAATTCAATTGATAACTTGTATGCGAGATCTAAAGATCTGTTTAAAGATATTGTTGAAAGCCCTGAGAAAGCAAATGACTGTAATGAAAACTTAATCTACGATTCTATTGAATCTAAATATCATACTATAAAACAATTTGGGAATAGGTTTTCAAATGTTAGGCATAAAGGCTTCTCGATATTACATTGCAACATCCGTAGTCTACCTAAAAATCTAAGTTTACTAAATGATGTGCTGCTAATGGTAAAAGAGTTGCCGAATATTATTGCAATTACTGAAACGAGGCTTGCCGAAGATAGTCATCATAATATTAGAATTCCCGGTTATATTTTTTTGGGAGTGAACTCTAAAACTTCAGCGGGAGGTGTTGGGTTTTATATTTCAGAGAACATTAATTTTACCAGACGAAATGATTTAGATCTTGCTCTCACTGAGGGTGTTGAAAATTGTTGGATTGAAATCCAAAGAATTAAACAAAAAAACGTAGTCATCGGATGCATTTATAGGCACCCATCGCAAAATCGCGAGACTTTTCACGAAGCTATCGAGACAAAATTAAACTTATTAACTGATGAAAACTGTGAGGTTTACATAACAGGTGATATAAACATAGACTTTTTAAAATACCATACAGACAATAAAACATCCGATTATCTTGACATGTTACTCAATCTCGGTTTTTTGCCAATAATTACTAAAGCTACCCGAATTACCGACCATACTGCCACACTCATTGACCATATCTATACAAATTGTCCTCAAAAAGTGGTTAAATCTGGTGTCTGCCTTGTGGGTATATCAGATCATTTGCCTGTTTTTTGTACAATTGAAAACAAATTTCCATTTATACAAGAAAGGAAATACTATAGAGACTTTTCTAAATTTAACAATGAACTATTTATTGATGATCTCAATAAAATAAATTTTAATAATTTTGTTAGCACAGACGTTAATCAAAGTATGAATGGTATTACAAATGCTTTAAAAGAGGTCACTAATAAACATGCCCCAATTAGGAAAACTTCTAATGCCCAACAAAGGTTATTAAAGAAGCCTTGGCTATCAAAGGGTTTATTATTATCAATAAAAAGACGACAAAAAATGTTCAAATCTCACTTTCTCAGTAGAGATTCAGAGAAAGTAAACCAATACAAAAGATATAACAATAAACTCAATAAATTAAAAGAACTAGCAAAGAAAAAATACTTTATTGCTCAATTTAACCTTTATAAACAAAATATTAAAGCCACTTGGGGCTTAATTGGTATGTTAATTAATATGAAAAAGAAACCAACAATCTTTACAAATAAACTCTTCTATAAAAATAGATGCTATACTGCTAAACAAGATATATGTGATAAACTTAATTCGCACTTCATAAATGTCGGTCCAGATTTTGCTGCTCAAATACCTGATTGCAATGATAAAAATCCGGTTCAGTTTATTAGAAGGTCATTTAAGGACAGTTTTATGTTCCGTGCAATATGTGTTCACGAAGTGCGGCACATGTTGTATGGACTAAAAACCAACAAATCATCAATTGATATCCCACAAAAATGTATTAAACTTGCTGCTGATCACATTAGTGATGTACTTACAGCGGTGTTCAACAACTCTCTTGAACAGGGAATTATGCCTGACATTTTAAAGATATCTAGAATAACGCCGGTAGATAAAGGTGGTGATATCACTGACCCATCAAATTTTAGACCTATTTCTACGTTATACTCTTTTGCACAAATCTTCGAAAAGTTAGTGTACTCACAAATTTTGGGTTACCTGGAAAAACATAACATTTTAAGTAAATTTCAATTTGGTTTTCGAAAAGGCAGATCAACAGAACATGCTATAGTGGAGATAACTGATAATTTTAAGAAAGCGATTGATAAAAATCTTTACACGTGCGGAGTATTCTTAGACTTTTCCAAAGCGTTTGATACAGTTAATCATCAAATATTGTTAAAAAAATTAGAAGCATACGGTATAAGAGGAACTCCCTTAGAATGGTTTACTAACTACTTGACAAATAGACAACAATATGTATCATTGAATAACCTGGAATCACCTAAACAAACAATTACATGTGGAATTCCACAGGGGAGTTCCTTGGGCCCACTGCTGTTCTTAATTTACATAAATGATATGCCAAACTGTTCGAGTAAATTATCTTTTAGGATATTCGCTGATGATACTAACATTTTTGCCTCCTGCTCCTCAATTACTGACCTTGAAACACTAATTAATGAAGAGCTTACTAAAATAAAAGAGTGGTGTGATATAAATAAACTATCTATAAATGTTAAGAAAACTAATTATATGATAATTAAATCTGCGAGGAAAAAGATAACAGGAAATATAAATATTAAAATAAAAAATAGAGATGGAACAGTCGATTATCTTGAAAAAAAGGACCATATTAAATACCTAGGCGTTTTCATTGATGATAAGCTCTCATGGAAATATCACATAGCGTACATCTGTTCACGATTGGCTCGGAATATTGGCATATTTTACAAATTAAGACATTACATGACTTTATCACAATTGAAACAACTTTACTACAGCTTTATTTACCCATACATATCATATGCCATACTGGCATGGGGAAGTGCATATCAGACACAAATAAAGAAAGTTCAAATTAAACAAAACAAAGTAATAAGAGTTATCTTCTTTGCCATTACCCATGGGCAAAACACAGAAAGCGCCCTACCCTATATGAATTTATTAAACATCCTTTTCGTTATAACACTTCATAAATTGCAAATTCTTAAATTTGCTTATCGATGGCAAGAAAATCAATTACCCGAAATTTTTGATGACTATTTTCAGTATGCTTGCGATGTACATCCTTACAGTACGAGATATGCTTCTAACAAAAATTTCTATAAGCCAAAAACAAGAACTAATACTGGAAAACAGTCTGTATATTCAATAGCAGTTGATTTATGGCAAGAACTTCCTTGTGACTTTAAAATTCTACCGAATTTCTCATTTAATGGAAAAGTTAAACAATTCTTACTTCAAAATCAAAATAGTAAATAAAATTTGACTGCCAATGTTTATTTTGTTTTGTCTGTGATTGTTTTGTTTGTTGTGTTGCTATAATAAATCAGTATATATCTTTATATAGCTGGGAGCTAACTAGAAAACTTCAGTTTATTTAGCTTCTAGACACCTTAAACATAGTATATATATACCATACGTGGCACATCAACTTATATATTGTATATATTTCTCTCCATTTTGTAAATAATTAATGCTAAAAAAGGTGTAATAAAGTTATTGTTGTTGTTGTCGTTGTATCAAGACGTGAAAATCTGTGATTTGGCGTTGTAAACAGAGCGAGGACAATGTCTAAATTATTCATATATTGTAATTACTCAATGATCTATTGTATTGGTACCCGTTGCCGTCCTAAAATCGTAAGGTCTCTATTAGAATTCGACAACTTGACCTTGCCCTTGGCCTTGAGACCTTGCTACCAACCTCGTCCCCAGGGCCTATTGAGGAAGGAGGCGAAGCAGCAAAGGCCCTGGTAAAGGCTGGTCACGTGATGCTTCAAATTTTGAATATTTCAGAATATTTAACTTTTCAAACCGGGGGTGCGGGCCGCTTTGATTTTATCAAACATGGCCGTGCAAAGGGGCGATAGAAGCTTTTGCGACTGAAACTATGATGATAAACTTTTCAACTGACAGTGGAAATAAATATATAGTTTGCGATGTTCTTCAAAAAATGAATACAACTGTGCATGTAAAATGTGATTAGAACGTTTTAATATGAACAGTTGCACTGTCATTGACTCAATATATTTTAATGTGGGACAAACATTAAAAAACATTAAAGTACTGTGCCAAGTGACAAAATTCCATGCCGACCATGGGTTACGTATGTATGCATTTTTATTAAACGTTTATACCAATATACATTATTTTAAACCTTTGTTGTGTGTGAATTTTGTGTGTTGATTTTATGATATTTGACAACCATGAATATTAATAATATAATATGTTAACAGCAAGTTTACAGTATATCATATAATACAAAAGCAATATCACAAGACTCAAGTACTGTACATGGTCTAATAGATGTTTCTTAGTCAGCAAATATGCTCTTTGACATTGTGGCAATCAGGTATTCTTGGGGCTTTTAGCTTGGTTTTTCACTTTTTTGATACAACTATAGAATACCCACAACTTTCACACCTTACCGCTATTAATTCCTTGTAAACATTGTCAATTTACTCAAAATTGATCTAATATGATTGCCTCATTCTTCAAAACCCCCCAGTCAAATTTGAACCAAACTAACATACTCATATGATTTAATCTCTAAACTTTACCCTTAAACTATTTTGAAGTGATTCTTGTACTTATTTATGTGTCAATGAATGCGGAAAAATGGCGAGGTATTCTATAAGCATTCCGGCATGTGTGTTTTTGAACCTTCACTGTTGAGAGAGCATGCCATGGGTCTCCCCAAATTATCTGAGCACTTCAACCAGACCAACAGCTGCCAAATGGCAACTACTATGCTCAGAGGTGTAACTTACACTTGCCCGGGGCAAGTGAATATCATGACGGGCAAGTAAAAGATTCCTCTTGGTTGCCCGAACAGGCAAGTTGCTTTGCCACAAAAAGCTGGCCAGCTTTCAGTTTATATTATTATTGTCAGATAGAATAAAGGCTATTCGACGACATTGGTTCAAGCTGGCAAATTATCTGCATCAAATTCATCTAAATTGTTTGATTATATTATGCATTGATTCTCTTTTTGGTTATTAAATGTTTATTCATGATATGATAACGAAATATGGCAGGACTTAATTTATGGCAGGACTTAATTTGGGACTTTATTAGTCCTGTTGTCTGTGCCTTCAATTTCTTATTGTAAAACTAATAAAAAAAAATAAATAAAAAATAATGGTGATTAGTGTTACATTAAATTAAATAAGTGTACATGATTCAAATTTTGTTTAATATGTGAGCCAAAGCTAGATCTGAGGTAGTCTAGATCTGAGGCAGTAACATAGCCAATGCCACTAGTCCAATGAGTGGATATGTTGTCTCCCTAATTTATACTGGCCCGCGTAGGTACCCCATTGCCTGATGGCAAGTGGATTTTATTCAGGGCAACCAATTTTCATGTCCAACTTACCCTGAGGGCAAGTGGTCAAAAAAGTTAAGTTACACCACTGATGCTGTATACAAATTATATACCTGAAAGGTAACTTACATCATATTGTGTCATTTAAATACTAATACTTGTATTCTCACAGTGTATTAAGATATACAAATGCACTTGTGATGCCCAAAGAATTGCCACAAAAAAACCCCATAAACCACAAATCAGTCAATTTCAGTAAGTAGGGCACACTGGGGCACATTGCAGCTCAATGGGTTAACTAGAGACATTGTCAGATTTTGGTTAATAACCATAATTGCAAGAGGTCAGTACAGTCTGTAACAATAAGTAATTCAGGAATTCACACAATTCTCAATAGTTAAATGATTATCGGATTTCATGTTAAATGATTATCGGATAATGTTGAGCATCAAGAATATATGTATAATATCCTTCATACATTTATAATAATATTCAGGCTAAATATCATAGTTATTATTTTATGTACTATAGTTGTATCAGGTATAAAGATATGAGGTGAAGCCAAGTATCTTTAGGTCTGATAAAGCATACACTGCGAATGTTTTAAATTGCTCAACTGATGGTCACCAACAACAAATAGTACTTTATTACAAGGCAGCAAAATGTATTTAAATTAAAAGAGATGAATAATCTTGTCACTTGATACATTTGACACCAGGTGTCTTGTATTTGTCCATAAGAGACCCCTTGTTATTGTATCATGTTTTGAGAATGAGTTCAATTTTGATATTTGTTGTTGATCTGAGCAAAATATTGATTATTGATTTGCCTACTGAGGCACACAGTATTGAACAGTCAATTGTGGTGAGTGATGCTGAACTGCCTGTTGTATGTTGTGAGTGATTTTGAGCGCCTGTTGTGATGAGTGACACTGAATTGCCCCAATTGTGGCTCAGGAAAAAATGTACCTGCTGACTTGTCAAATAATCTCCTTAAATAATGTTCTGGGAAGTAATTTGTGTAATTGATTACAAACAAAAACAAGGGCTTGTTAACAGTATAATGAGGAAATTAATTCCATCTCATTATATTATTCAGCCTTGATAAAGCATATGGAGGCTTTCTGTCTGATTTGACCCTCATGCATGTAATCGTTTGGGAATGCCTGATCATTAAGATCACAACATTTGTTGTGAAGCTTGGCCTTTGAAATCTAAACCCAAAGCACTATATGTGTGTTCACAATGTTCTTGGGATAAGAATGAAAATCAAATAAAATATTTCAACTCAATTAAATTCAGGAAATGTTAATTAACCATGGCGGTCAACCAGGTTATACTCAGGGCATATGGCTAACATAAGCATTTAAATTCCAAGTGCATACGATGTTGACATTCCTTGTTTTTCAGACATTCTTTGGGCCTTGTACTCCCTTTAACTGTTTATAAATATACTGTATGATATTGACATTTGCAAGGAAGATCTATTGTAGCAACAATAACTATTAAATGTTTTGATGATCATGGATATGGTGTATTGAGAGTCCATATTATTAAATTAAAGTGATTTTACATATCTGTTTCACAATCGAGGCAGCAATTTCCTTGCGACAGTAATTCATAGTATAAATACTTCTATCGATCCATTCGTTTTGCACTGTTGCTTTGTCTATTTAATAGATCTCCTTTACAGTTCAACCAAGGTTCTCAGAGCTAATTTGAAGACAATTTCAGATTTATTCAATATTTTTGGAAGAACTTTAACAGCTTTTTTCATTTTAAAATAGATTTTTGTTCTTTATTTGTCGATTTCGGTGTTTATGCAATATTGACGAATATATTGTAGCTAAAGCGATCCGCGATCGCACCCCCCTGTATAGTATTTGCTCCGATATATCACGTGACAAAATAATCCACAATTTGTGGATTATTTCACCACCCTTTACCAGGGCCTTTGCTGCCCTTCGCCTCCTTCCTGAAAAGGCCCTGGGGACGAGGTTGCCTTGCTACTGCCTCAGCACTGAAATGTTTTTTGACAACGATAATTTCATAGACGGATTTTCATATTTATTACTGGGGTGGTGCCAGAAATTTTAGGGGGGTGAGCCATGAGCAGGTGACTGAAGCAACACAAAGTGTCACCAAACCCCAGTAAGGTCTATATAGATTCTAGGGGTGGAGCACTAGAGCCGCGAGGGGAGTCTAGAGAGCAGAAAACCCAGGAAACATTTGAAAAAAATCATGATTTCTAGCTTCGAAAGAAAGTTTTTTGAAGTTGTCAATTTGTCATATCAATGGATTTGGCATGTCCGATTGTCTGTTGAGACTTGAGAGAGTTAAAGACTTAAAGTTAAATGAACCTGTAAAAGTGTAAACCCAATAGGCCAATACACAATATGCTTTTACTTTTATAAAGTCATTGACATTGTGTTGTTTGAATCCGAGTACAATTTATGATGCAACTCCGATGTAAATAATATTTGGGGCGTAAAGATTAAATCTAGGCAAGTCTATTTCCTAAAAGAATTAAAAACTAAAAATAGTGTTCGTAAAAATTCCAAACGTTCCTTGCGTGCAAGCTATTCGCATGACAAGGCACTGCAAACTCTATTCAGGGAAGATAATAGAGTTTCAAAACGTTACAATTGCTCCAATAAACCAGTGAATGCAAGTGAGGAGCGATTAGTTTCAGAGTGTTGCACTGTCTTTTTCTGTTCGAGTGTATGCCTACGTTTATTTTGTATCATCAACACTCTGCACGTTGGAGTGGACTATTTATTTATTTATTTATTATGCCGAATATTGGGGAGTTGAAAATTTTTTTGGAGGGGTGGACATTTTGTTTGGGGGAGGGGGGGTTTATAGCTAATATTGGGGTGGTAGCACCCCCCTGCACCCCCCAGAAAATCCGTCTATGGATAATTTACCAGTGTTTCTTGGATATTTTCCTTGTTTAACTAGTAGAACCGAACATACACTGATACAAGTGTATCTGAAGACTAAGCGAGAGTTTTGTGTTGAAATGCTCTGTTTACGGCAAGTTATTTTGCATTCGCAAGCGTCAACAAAAGCCGGCATTTTCACAGTTTGATTATCATATCGATAGATAAAAGCTTTGAAAATTCATTTGTAAACATTTTAAGCCACCCGTATTTGTATAGAATATATGTTAGTTGTATTAACATTGAACTTCTTTCTGTTTGAACCCAAATTTGCACTTGTTTTGCGTTTGACAAGGCTGTCAAGCTCGTGATGATTGGCTTTACCCTCTGGCATGACTGCAGATTTAGCGTGTCAAATGTCTTCTTGTTTGTGTCAAGGTTATAATCTATTGCTGTTACGAGATATTCTATACACTGGAAATGTAGAGTACATTTTACTTTGTCTCAAGCAAAAAAGTATAAAGATAAAACAGGCATTTAAAAATATAATACAACAACCGCGAGCGTCTCGCTATTTCTTCGGGGAAATCTTCAAGTTTCAGTGGCAATTTTGGTTAATCTGGCGCATGCGCAATAAATTTCCGAGCTGTTCCCTGCGACAGGATAAGTCGGCAACAGATCCGCGTACTTACGTCGTACAGTACGTGGCTAAAAACTAGGTTACCCACAGGGCAGTAATGCTGCCTTCGACAGCAAAAGACAAACTACAGGGTGTTGAGCGAGTCCTTCAGAAACATCCTATTATTGTTATCCTTGCAGGTTAACCCATTTATTGACAGTACCCTACCACTGACTGACTATTAAAAATCGTCTGGCGTTGGACAGGGTAAATACTAAAGTAGGGGTCATTACTGTGCTGATGGATTAACAAGCTAGACATTAACAGATACCCATTTACTGGCATTACCCTATACCACTGACGAGTAAAGTTTGTTAACCCATTTACTGGCATTACCCTATACCACTGACGAGTAAAATCTTCTGGCGCTGGACAAGGGAAGGGCGCATTGCCAGCTAATGGGTTAAACCACCGTGGTTAAACATAAGATTTGATGCTCCAGGAAATGTAAACAAGCTATCAGTGTAACATCCCAGTTTATATATTTATATACTCGGAATATTGATTTCTCGGTATATACAAAATTATTTTAAAGTATAACAACCAGCGAAGAAGTAAGCCACTAACTACCCTGCGCGGCTGCGCGCAGATTATATAATGACATATATATCATCCGTCCGGTCCGTCCGTCATTCATCCGTCCATCCGTATCCGCGTTTTATCCTACCCGTTTTTAAAACACAAAGTTTGCATAATTAACATGATCAACATTTTCAAAAGCGGCCAATTAGACCAGGGGTTAAAGGTCAATGACAATGACATGCAATTGACATTTAACATTGCGTCTCAATAATTAAACTGTTGCGTGTTTAATCAATGTTTATCAAAGAAAGCAAAAATATATACAAGACAATCTCACATGTGGAATTTGTTCACTGACGTACTGCCTTGTGATGAAGTACAAGTATAAATACAAATGACAAAGCATTTGTAAATCCTAAAACATAATTAAATCATACGGCACATTCAAGATTTTATTAAATATCGTATTTCAGCCGCGTTTATACTGCTTGGCGCATTCGCTGCGTTATATTCATTTATATACACAGAAAGCATCAAGCATGTCATTGTCCTTGCAGACCATAGGCAAAAAGCATTTGTCAACCACATACCAAATTTAAGCAATCGTTAAATCATAGACATGTCATGGAAAGAATATGGAAATAATGTTGAATGAAAGCTAGCATCGCGTATAATGTTAAAAGCACCACATATAGTGCTCGAACCACTGCGTATATTAATTGCAAAAGCAACGCGTATATAAATGGTGAAAGCACCGCGTATAATGCTGGAACCACCGCGTATAATGCTGGAACCACCGCGTATAATGCTGGAACCACCGCGTATAATGCGGGAACCACCGCGTATAATGCGGGAACCACCGCGTATAGTGGCGAAAGCACCGTGTATAATGCCGAAAGCACCATGCACCGTATAATGCTAAAAGCACCCAACAAAATGCCGTTTGATCACTTTAAGTCAGCTATGGCTTTCCATAAAAGAAGACCAAAGATGAAAGATGATCACATTGTCTGTTTGCCTTATGCCTGACCGCGCTGCACCATGGTTAAAATTCACTGGTACCGTCATGCAATGCGCCAAATTGAAAATTTTGATTTTGACCCACAAAACAAAATTAGGATCTGCTGCCTTGCTCGCTCGCTTCAGGCTCGCTAGCTGCGGCAGCAACAAAGAATTAAGTACAGTACCAGATCTAGACCGTAATATAATTGGTGTACCTCCGGTGCGTAAATACTCGAATTGTCACACCCTGGGCATTAATGACTGAATTGTATATAAAAAAATTTAAAGCTGGCATTTTTAGGTGTTTCCCCCCAACTTTAAACGGGAAGATTAACTTCTATACACTATCTTTTGTTTCAGAAACCGGTAACCTCTACATTGTCATGGATTATTGCGACGGAGGTTTGTATTTCTATGCCAATAAAATTCTGAAAACTTTGAATATTGAAAACTTGGGTCTTAATCAAATTGTATAATATTGATTATTAGGCGATCTGTATCAGAAAATTAATAATCAGCGTGGAGTATATTTTACAGAAAATCAGGTAGGACACTTTGGAAACCTAAAGCTCCAGTCTTGCGTTTGACTGCCAACTCTCATGCACTCTCGCCAACTCTCATTAACTTTGAGCAGTGTTGTAAAATATACTTAATTTTTAGAACTACAGTTATAGTGAGTAGTTACAGTTACATGCTCAAATAAGTTGCATACTGTAGGCTAGTTACCGTTACAAAGTTACTTCCCGATTTTTGTAACTAGTTAAGAAGTTACCTTTCAATTTTTTGTAACTTTTTCAAGTTATAAGAGAAAACTCTCATGCAACGACTCGCTTGCCAGCTCTCATCAATCAACTCTCTTCTTTGTTCGGGCAGTCCTCGGCTTGCGGTGAACGGCGCTTACATCACATTAAAAAGAACAGCGAAGAACTTACTGTACCATCCCACTTTGCGGTCGTCCGATCTTGTAATCACGTGTTAGAGTTCAGACGAATTACCATTGTGTTTGCCATTTATGAACTATATATCAAAGTACCAGAAAATCTGATGAGCATTAAGTCCAAGGCTTGGCTTCTAAAACTTGGACTTTTTGCATGCCATAGTACCCTCTCACGCATAATTCAAAAATTTACTTTTCTGAATAATTTGGTGATCGAGATACTACAGCTTTATAAGCTGCCACATAATTTGCGGAATTTTCAGTTTACTGGACATTTTAGTCTTTCTGGAACTGTGCACTTTTTATACACCCTGTATACATATTTACAGTATATATACGGTAATAATTTTCTATTTAGGTTCTTGATTGGTTTGTCCAGATCGCTTTAGCCATCAAGCATGTTCATGATCGCAAGATTTTACACAGAGATATAAAAACACAGGTTTGTTTGTATATAATAATATAATAATATAATAATAATAATAATAATATATAATAATATAATAATATAATAATATAATAATAATATAATAATAATAATAATATAATAATATAATAATATAATAATATAATAATATAATAATATAATAATATAATAATATAATATTATAATATTATAATATTATAATATTATAATATTATAATATTATAATATTATAATATTATAATATTATAATATTAGATATAATATTATAATAATTTTAGTTCAATTACTTGTTTGACTTATAATAATTTTAGTTCAATTACTTGTTTGACTACTTTTCTATTCTTTCTAATTATAACTCAAAGATGAAAAGTTTCGTCTTCGTACATTTAGAATATTTTTCTGACACGGAGTGGAACGATCAAATTAGGCGACTTTGGAATAGCCCGTGTGTTACGGAAGTAAGTGTACATGATATAAGTTTGATTTCAGAACCATATGTGATATGAAAAACCAGTGCAGGCTATACTGTGCAGAGTTATACTGTTATTGCAGATTGAATTGCACAAACATCGAGGTTTATCTGTTCCGGAAACCTTTTTGATATGTTTTGCTGCTAAAGATAAACGTACATGTATAGATGTATGGCCCCCGAAATACCCCCGCTATATTTTGTAGGGTGACAAAACAATTATCTCAAAATACCCACCCCCAACTATATTTTATGGTTTTACTATACATGTACGTTACATGTGTACGTTAGCATTGCATGAATTGTTCATGAATTTTTCATGGCTTTTCATGAATTTTTACAATTTGTACGAAACCTTGATGTCCGGAGTAAAAATCTTCAGTTTATGAGTTAAGATAGTATGTGGCAAATCTAGAAGTATTCCAAATATTGGCGTCACTTGATTGTAGAATGCATTTGGTTGCATGGTTATTTTGATCAATCAAATATATGCATTTACAGTACATGATGTGTTAGCCAAAAAATATGAATCGTATATGAAAAGATTCATTGAAGAAGTGTGGTGTATACAGTATTTTTTGGGACACATTGTATATTTATTTACTGTGCAGTGCTTATAGTTTTTCAATTGATGTTACTTTTCAGCACGATGGAACTTGCTCGTACCTGTATAGGAACTCCATATTATTTATCTCCTGAAATTTGTGAAAATAGACCTTACAATAATAAAAGGTAGGCACATTATTGATTTAAGAAGAGAAACCTTTGTATATCATACGTAACACGCGCTCAGAACTAACGATCATACTTTAATTTCCACTTGGTTATGACTATATTTTTAAAATTTTTGATATGTTTCTCGAGCGGCAAACAAACTTAAAAAGTATGTTTGTTGCTTTATCTGTAAAATAATGCTGCATGAAATCGGAAGAGATTTTAGACAGCCGCCAAAGAGAAAATTATGGATGACATTCAGTAAGTTTTACTTATATTGCTGTATACAGGGTGTATCAAAATAAACGCAATTCATCTTTTGTGCTTAATAACTTTCGAAATACTATCTCTAGTTAAACGCTTTTAGGCTTACTTCAAAGCCTGTTCTTTTCTCTTTCAAATAAACTATTATCCTTGTCTCCAATGCTTGTAATAATTGCACAGGAAAAGATTTAGTAAAACCTATCATTTTTAGTTGCTGTTTAATTATGCTAGTTTACTATGTTATTGTTTAGTCGGTTTAAATGTTAGAATTTTCTTCTTTAAACTTTAATGTTGTCGTCACTACATCTGGAAAACCACGTAAGAACAAATTAAAAGTATTTTAAAAGAGACCAGGTTGTTTGAAAATCCTAAACGAATGCTAAAAATCGTCAAAACATTCTGGTGTCTGAGCCAGAGTGTCATCGAATTGCGATGTAATGTAAACAGAAATTATAGCAAGTTGATGTCAGTCAGCTTAGATGGTCCAAGCCAAAATTATATCGCATTTGAAGTTTCAAACTGAGTTAAAAATAGTGGAAGAAAAGCTGTAATTATACTTATTGTTATAATACATCTAATAAAATGCAACATTTTTTTGTTTTAATGACAAAAATCAGTTATTTTCATGAGAACGATTTGTTAATTCCATCTCAATTTTTTTAATCTTCAATCGCAATAACGTAAAGTATTATTACCCGCGAACCAATGGGTCAAATTTAAGAAACAACCCACTGTTAGAAAGCTGAATGGCTGCGCTTTAAAATGAATGTAAACTTTAACGTTTTCGTCTATTATTTGTTTAGCAATTTACATTTCAGTCGAGGATTGCGCTTTTTTTGATACACCCTGTATATATAATGGCGTCAATTATACAGCATCAATGATGACTGTGTTTGAATTGACAATGTTGAACTATTATATTGTGTTTGTCAACCGCCAGATACATACAGATATATAGATATTGCACAGCACACTCTCTATCAGGGTTGTTCAATGATTGGTTACATTGGGACCAGAACTGGCGTGAAGCAGACCGAGGTAGACTGTGAGCTTACAAATGGCGCTTTAAGCGGCCGCTATTAGTCTATACCTCGTTGGTGATCTGCCCCCTGACCTATGTGTTTAACCCACCCTGTCAACTTTCTCTGTGGGAGGAAACCGCAGTAACAGTAGACAGTAACAATATTGGTAAATACAATGGTGCACGAATATAGTATAGTGTCCACCAGGCTGCTCCGTTTACTGTTCGAGTAATCGAGTACTTCGGAATTTCGGAAGACTGATAATGTGACCGCACTCAATAGAATTTGGACTAGAAGGCTTTTTGAAAGAAGTATAGACAGCTCTTTGATACCCAAGGGCGCCGCCCAGCTAAGGGGTACAAGAGCGGCTCTCGGGGAAGATTTTGAAATTTAGACCCCTTCAAATGGCATTTCCAGGCATTTTGGAGAGTTGTTTGTTTGGACCATTTCGTCGTATTATCCAAAAAGTTTAAGGAAGAATTTTTACTTTTTTTTACATGTACGTTTTTAGAGCATGGATTGACATTTGTGTGGTAAGAATCAAAGAAATTATTTCGAAAAACAACCGGCGATTGTCTACGTTATAGGCCGTGAAATTCGCCGGGTGCCGGCTTCTAGTGGGAACCCTGATATTTTGGAAGGAATTTAAGAAAAACCCAATTAATCTGTGTTTACCTCTAGAAACTCTCTACCCTCCCATTTTACTAATTAGTATGTTTTTTTGCCAGTGACGTTTGGTCGTTAGGTTGTGTACTTTACGAAATGCTGACTTTAAAACATGCGGTAAGCCTGTAGATTAATTGTAACAGATGTATTTAAAATTACAAATCCATCAAGCAACCTCGTACCCAGGCTATTTTCCCAAAAAGACCCTTGGTACGAGGATGGGCATCAACTTGAATGTGTTTTTTTTTCTAACCTAGTTCGAGGCTGGTAATATGAAGAATCTTGTTTTGAAGATAATCAGGTGAATCTTTTTTACATTTTGTGATTAGCCTGCACATGCGCAGTGTAACGCAGCCATATAGAGCATTATGATAATTATTCTCTTATCCCCCCTTTTTAAACCAACCGCACCCTTTTGAATAACAGCACCCTCCCCCCCCCCCATTATTGCAAAAGTCTTTTTTGTGATGGTTTATACCTCCCCACCCTTAAAGAGCATAGTCGCATCGAACACAAGTCGTGTTCGTGTTAATTCATGCATTCTAAAATATTTTTCAGAGGTTCCTATCCGCCTGTTCCGCCAAGATACAGCGCAGATGTGAGGCTTTTAGTTGCCCGACTGTTCAAACGTAACCCACAGTAAGTGCACACTAATATATATTATATATATTATATATATATATATATATATATATATATATATATATATATATATATATATATATATATATATATATATATATATATATATATATATATATATATATATATATATTAATAATTTCAGTTTACTAACTTGTTATTAACCGAACGCGAGGTCTGTACAGAGAAACATCGGACCGAGGTCTTTTTTGTCTGTACATACCGTGCAAGCGAGGTTAGTAACTAAAGATGTTTATTATATGGCATTTATAGGCATTTATACTGGAAACAAACAAGAAATGCATGATTTGAAATACATATTAGTAGCGTGGTACACATTTGGTGAAAGAAAACAAAAATTACCAATCTATTCATTCTTTTCCACTAAAAACCATTCGCAGATATTTTATTAATAACAAATTAAATTATAATTTTCAGCTTTTCAATTAGCTTTGCTGTTTTGTTTTAAAATGCATGCGTTTGTTTTTACGTAATGGACCGCTGGTCCATTACGGTAAAGTACTGAAGGCACGGGAAAATTTTAAGATTTTGAATCCCGGAAATGGCACTGTTTTAATGGTGCGTTTTGTTATAAATCACATGCTCACATTTCAGAGAAAATATTTACATGATTATTTACATTTGTGAATGGAATTGCAAGGTGGTGTACTGTAATCTAATTAACACGCCAATGACAATGTAAAAATTTATTCCCTGCGCATGACGCTTTTGTTTTTGTTAACATAAAATTGGAATGCTGATTGAATTATCCATTATTTTTGAGCAAAATAGTTTAATATGCATTCAAATATTATTGTGCAGCAGGAAATTTCGCTGTTTCAAACAACAAAAAATTGACAATGAAATTTAAAGAAGTGGCTGTTGCAAAAAGTTGACCCCCTATTATCCGTCAAAAAGAATGCATAAAATGCGCATGTTGTGAAATGTACAGTACAGAAACATGCATTATTATATTATGATGACAATTACGTTATATGAGTGTCATTTGTGTTATTTGGTACAAGATTTTTACAGTCTTTCAAAATTATGGGGGCTCGCCTCCCTCCCCTAGCCCCCCTAGTGTCCGCCACTGGACCCTTCGTTAGGAAGTTACAACTTCTCGCTACTAACTTCCCGACGAACGGCCTTCGCTCGAAACGTCAAATTTTCCTTGCGTTCTAGTTGCTTCCCTACCAACCCTACGTTTTCTGATTCTTGGCACTACCTAGGCAGGATTTTGGTGGAAATAGTGGGGGAGGTGGAAAAAATTTAGGGGAGGTGCAGCGGTTTACTGAGCACACGATCCCCATATGGAAAGTTAGGGCTTAGAACGGGCCAAAGTGAACGACGTGACGTATGCATGTAGTGTACATATGTATCAGTGTATTGATGAATTATGACTGTACAACTCATCCAATTTTGCCCTTCATTGTAATTACTACAAAGTTTCTTTGAAAACATTGCATTAAAAGGATACTTGACACAGAGATGAATGGCTATAACTGTTTCAATTTTACAGAAAAACATTCTTAGGGACGGGTCATTTATGATGGGGGGTGGCACCGAAGAGAAATGTTTTTCGTGCCAAAAATTTTGCTGACCCAACCATTAAAAAATCAAAAATTTGATTACCCAACCTCAAATATCATTTAAAAAATAAATACCCACCCCTGGCCAAAAACGTTACAAAAGGATGTCATTCAGTTGTCACACATGTCCTTTACCACTTCTGTGATACGAGTTTGATAACGTTCGGCTTGTGAAATTTACTGACTTTTCTGCAGTCTAAAGTTTCATGTTGTCTGCACATTTACATTCTTTGGAGACACCATTTGTCTGCCAACAAATCGGAAAATCATCAAGATAGTGACTCTGATTGATTCACATATTGTATTGACATATGACTGTTGACATTAAAGTTTTCAGTCTTCAATATTTGAGTGAGTCATGCTTTGGAAATGACAATAAATTTCTATTACCCAACCTTTGAGTTGTTTCGTTTTTCATTTACCCAACCTTTTACTCACTCAAAATTTTGTTTACCCAACCCTTTTCTCTTCGGTGCCACCCCCCGCCATAAATAATGACCTGTCCCTTACGAATTAAGTGTGGACACTAAGCAACCAAAAATTGTCAAATTTTCACTTTGATCTGTCATTGAAACTTTCCCAAGGGGAGGTGTATGATTTTTCAGGGCAGGTGCTCTGAGGGGAGGTGCACAACTCCCCACACCTCCCCTCAAAATCCGGCCATGCATGGGCACTACCTCCACAGACCATGTTTATTGTTGTATCTGACTTTTTTCTTTGTTTATATTAAGTGACAGACCTTCAATCAATACAGTTCTGAGACAACCACTTATTAAGAACAGAATTAACAAATTCCTTCCTGAGGAGGTAAGATTTTGCCAGCTTACTTTAAATCTTATAGAAACATTGATATTAATATAGATGGATGATTTAAGCTACAGACGAAATTTTGATCTTGACAAGAAGAACGAAATCCATTACCATAGCTGGAAAGAGCATCGTAAAATGAGTAAAATTTGGATGCGAATTGACCATTTGCGTAATAGACTAAATTTTGATCTAGACAAATATTTCATCACAGCTTGAAAGAGCATCACAAAATTAGTAATATTCCAAAGTTTCGTTGCGAAATGTTGTAAAATGCGAATAATATAGCCTTGCGAAGTTTGCAATTTTCAGTCATTTTAGATTACAAACGGGAAATTGACAGCCCGATACGCTTTGAGGCTGTCAATTTCGCGTTTGTAATCTAAAATGACTGAAAATTGCAAAATTCGCAAGGCTATATTATCCGCATTTTACAACATTTCGCAACGAAATTTTGGAATATTACTAATTTGGTGATGCTCTTTCAAGCTGTGATGAAATATTTGTCTAGATTTGTTGAGATCTAAATTTTGTCTATTACGCAAATGGTCAATTGTTGTAAAATGAGGAAAGTATAGCCCTGTGATTATTTTTACCACGCGTAATACAAATATATATATATATATATATACAAAATTTGTGAACTTCACAAGGCTATATTTTCTTCATTTTACAACATTTAGCAACCAATCTTAATTTGCAGTTTTAATCATTCTAAGACGCTGTTTCTCGCTGCGGTCTTGGATCTCGTTCTTCTTGCCTTGATCAAAATTTAGTCGATAACTGGAATCACCCATTATTGACAACACATAATGATACGTCAATTTTGTGTTCCGCCATTTTGGGCAGCAGTATTTAAAACTATATTCAGCATGACGTAATATTCTCGCGTGACTGCAAGGCGTAAACAGAGATAGTACTGTATGCACTTTACATTTACTTTCGACATGTGCTGTACATGGTTGTATTGCGTACACGAGTATAATAAAATGAAAACGAAATTGTTCGCTTGCTTTCAGGTGGTAGCTGATGAATTTAGTCATACTGTATTACATCGTCAACCGTTCGTTGTTCCTGGACAAAAAGCTGCCCCAGGACGACCTGTTAAACCAGCAGCTGGTGAGTACAGCGTATATGATGTCGCTATTGCAGGCAGGCCTGGATAAAGTATTTCTCTTCTTGGCAGCAAAAATAGAAATTTCCTGCTAAACTAATTAAAAAATTTCCTGCGAGAATTTTTTGGTTTATAACTAAGGGAACAAGCACTCATGTGAAAAATAAAGTTATATGCTTTTAAAAAGTAGCTACTACACTCTACAGGAACGTCAATGTCACTATGACTCTAACATTGAAACAATGGTTTTTATTTTGTCTGTTCTGGGAAATTATTTAGTTGAAAATTTGTCTTTCTGAGTTTCTGTTATCACTGATCATGCAGTGATGCAGTCGTCACTCATTAACATTATGTAACTATGTTCTTATCCATGTATTGCAGCATTCTGTTTACAACCTTAGAATTGTTAGGTACACCCACTGTGTCAAATAGGCTGATGTCATTCGATCTTCTGACAAAGCGAATGCCATGCTGCCCTTTGAAGTGTTGTTTCATAGCCGCCATCACAACTTTATCACATTGGGCTAGTGAAGGACCATGTACGCGGTATCCTCATTCACATTTCTAAATTTATTGAAGTGAATCTCAATCTTTGATGTCAATGATTCAATCACTGATTCCACAGAAATTTTCACACAAATGGAGTGGATAAACATCTCAATTCCTTTGTACAACGTTTTGTCGCTGTAAATGCCTAAATGGTAGTGTTTACTTTACAGAATACAGTGTAATCTGATTTACGTTCTCATACACTTGTATTCTAAATCTACTCGATAGCAATTTGGAAATACAACTTTAATTATATTCTTCAAAGTGTCGAACCTAAAATAAATTATGAACAAAAAAATTTCCTGCGAGATTCAAAAATATTTCCTGCAAGTAATTTTTGTGAAAAATTTCCTGGCAGCGGCGCCGCCGGACATTTTCCAGCCCTGACTGCAGGCATGATCTTTACTTTTCGGTATATAGGGAGATCCGTAGTACGTACTGTAGCTGTTCCGAAATCAATAATCGTGCAGGGAATGTTGACAGGGTGGGTTGGGATTAGCCCCTACCTAACCCTTCGACCGTAGCTGTGCCCCATGATCAGATATGAGTCATAAGGTGGTTGCCAAAGGCGCCGTTAAAAGCGTCCAGGATCGTTTATTTACAGAAGAAAAAGCTCATGCAGTACAGTATAAGTTGACCTATCCAACCCGTGTCAGAATTTCTTAACATCGTATCATTCCCAGCTTGGTCTGAACCTATTTCCCAGCCTGATTACAGACTGAAACCTTCTTGAGAACAATCTCTTGATTATAGGCGCGTCTATATGCATGCTCTCGCTTACCGAGGTTTCGCCCTGAGTTCTTCAACTCGCTATATTTCTTGACTCACCTAAAAAGAGTCAGAATTGGTGAGAAAGATCTCCTAACATTCCGCATCACCTGCATTCGGCCATCACTTGCATAACGCCACGTTTTACGTAACCCGGTTCGGACAATTTATCGTCTGAAACATTTTGTTTATCAACTAAGTAACGACAATTTCCGAATTTTCGTTTGAGATACATTTCTTTAAAAAAAAAACTGTGTCGCCATATATAAAAAATTTTCATGTTCACAATAATTAAACTTTAGGATTTATTCTACAATTTGAGTGGGTTAAGAAGCTTAACTTTTCGAGAGTTTTCTTAACTTTTTAGTTTGAATTTTTGTTTTGAATAATTTTGCAAACATTTTCGAAGTCGTGTCCGTTAAAATCAACAATTTTTTACATGAATTGTATTTCATTCCATACTTTAAATGCCAGGACGCTTTCAATTAATGTCTAGTCTACCCATTTGCTATATTTTCTCGTTTGTTTTACTAATTTTTGACCAATTAATAAGCATGTTTTTGTTTTAGAAATTGATATTCAAATTCCCCGCCATATTTTCATAATTTGGTTCATGCGCAGACGTTTTTCCGCGGTGTTCGACAATGCACGCCTTGTATATAATCACTAGATACACATTTTTAGTAGGATCCTTGTTAAAACATTCAATAACGATTGAACAATTGCGATTAAACGGGGTCAATATGGCGCCCATATGGGGGAAAGGTGGGACACTGCACTTTTCATAGCTATCTTCGAAACGAGTTCGGTGACCGCAACTTTTGTTTCTGTGTTTACTATATATGCGCATATCATAAACTTCAGTACTTCACCCCTGGTAAGTTTCGGCAAATTCTCATTTCCGGAACAATTACTGATGAACCACCTTAAGAGGACAATAAGTTGTAAACAACATTGTGTTTTTTTCAGCACCCAAAAGGATAAGTAAACCAGCAGCGAAATACGGAGTTTCTGTGGCCAACAAGGTTGCCAGGTAAGACACATAATTAAATCCTCGCAGTTTTAGTTCTTGATGTGAAACGTGCAGTAATCTTACTTGTTTCTCGATCATTTCTCTGTTGTAGAAAGCCAGCAAATGATGCCTACAATGTGAGAAAACCAATAAAAGCTGGTGAACGGGAAGCTGTACCTGTAAGTATTTTGTGATGAAAACATTTTTATATATTTTATATCAATACAAGCAATCTCTAGTTCAGCAAATGGGTTTCTTTGCTTACCAGGTTCTTGTGAACCATCCATAGATTCCCCATTGGGTTGAGTTTAGAACTTTTCGCTGGCGTCTCAAGGCTTGTTCCTTGACGTGTTACAGTCGCATTTTCCTAATCGAATGGCACATTATCATCATATACATCGTACCATGCAAGCATTTGTATTTTCTGTCGTCACCCAATGGAAAGGAATGTTTTTGAAAACCGAGAATCCTAAACTCAACCCAATGAAGAACTTGTGCAGGATGGCTCACAAGATCAGAATTAAGGCAGTAAGCAAAGGAAATCTTCGACTACAAGGATATTTGTTGAAGTAGAGATTATTGTTCGAATAGGAAAATTCCCAGAAAAATTTTTAAGATCTTGGTTTAATCCATGCCCAAACGAGCAATGAGTTATTTCCATGCCTTCAAAATCGATTTTATATAATTTCTGTATTGAAGGTATCGGCTATTAAGTTCTGGTTTGAAGGCATCGAAGTTACGTCAACGTCCTGTTTTGCTACCTAAAGTATATAAAGATCTCAGCACGCTTGTAAATAGTTATAGGTTTGACAATGGCTTTGAAATAAAGTCGAAATATTACCGTGAATTTTGTTGTCTTGTTTAAATAGCTCGAATCTTCATGCAGTTTACAAAATTTTAACATTCGGAGGGTGTTTCATCTTATATTTTGCGAAATTGCCTGCTTGCATGGTAAAGGATTATGGTTCTGAAATACTGTATATTGGGCAATGCTGCTTTTTCTTAGGAAAAGGCCAAAGAAGTCGATGCGAGAGAAAAGAGAAGGCAGCAGTTACAAAAGGAACAGGTCAGCTATAGAGAATACAACACGTGCCTGTAATGCTTACATGACCGGGTAATATGCACTTTAGTTGCATTACGTCACAAATATGGCATGGAGAACAGTGGTATTTCTAAAACAATAAAAAGAAAAACTAAATTCTTGCTGAATTATATTATTTACCATGGTTTGGATGCCATATCTAGAATTATCAGAGAACGTGTACAAATTTATGGATAGAAACCCTTTTCTATTACGTTAGGAAGATGCTTATAACAAGATGATGGATAATATCCAGAAGCAAAGATGGCAGAAACAACAGGTTGGACAAGCGTGCATCTCTTTTTACTTTTGTAGTCCTGCGTACAGTATTATACTTATAAATCGGCACATTTTGCCGAGACCTCGTGAACCAAGGCAGCTCTTTTAACAAAGAGGTTCTTCATCGTAGATTCCGATTTTTTTTGGCCTGGGTATTTTATTGCTGACGTGTTACGCAGTTCTTGCAGTGGTTAGTTTAGACACAAGACTACAGTCGGTCACAATTTTCCGTAATAGCACAATTCAATCTTTATCAGTCTCTCTATTACTCAGTATTAGGAATACAGTTTGATTTGCGAGTTATTTATGTCTCTTATTCTTTGTTTGTGTTACGTGTGCAATTTGGAAACAGGAGCTGACTAATATATATGTGCCCCTTTCGGTAGATGGATAAAATTAATAAAGCAAGGGAACAAAATTGGCGAAATTCTGGAAATATCTTAAGTCCAGAGGTGTGTATAATTCAATAATTTCTTCGTTGTGAACCTTTTCAGATAAACTATACAATCACTAGGGCCTACCATATTTTATACTTACTGCATTGCGATCATATTTATCACAGAAAGAAGTGAAGAAGTCAAATGACGGCGATGACCATGGAGTTGTAGTAAGTTTTATTCTTGTAGTAAGTTTTATTCTAGTAGTATGTTCAGTTTTTATTTTTGGGAGCAAGTTGTACTGTATGTTCAGTTTTATGTACTATTTACAATATGAGCGGCCGTGTTGTATATCGGAAATACAAACTGGAACCGAAGGCGAGAGCTGGTATATATCCGATACAACACGCGAATGTTGTAAATGGTTTGTTAAACGTCTTGATGACAACATTCGTATTCTTTAACAATTTAAAATAAATGAATGATATTTGGTGAGAAAATTGAACTTAAAGTTTATATAAATCTACATGACTTTGTATCAGATATACATGTAAACTCCTTCACGGTCATGATTTCTTCGTATGTGTACCATTTCGTTTCCTTGCTCTACATTAATAAACTATTTTGATTGGGTTTTTTTTGTGTTTTGAATGCGAAGACCAATATTCTGACAGTATGACGTACGGTGTACGCAAATGCTTTTAACGTCTCCAACTCTAACCGAAAAAAGACACTTGGAATGTAAAAATGAAATGGTACTATACATGTATATGTAATGTACTTGTGTTTTCAGAACAAGCAAGCTGTAGCGATGAAAAAATACCAAAATGCAGGGAAGGAAAACCGGCCACATTCAGCATACGATGCAGGACATCGTCCGCCACCTGTACCAGCGTGGCAAGCAGCGAAACAACAAGGTGAAGTAAATCGGTAAGTATTCACTACAAGCCAGGTATACAATAAGACCGTGGCCAGCTATAACCGTGGCTATAATTTGACCGGTATATACTTTTTAGCCACGGTAATAAAGAAACTGAACACAGCATGATATACTGTACGGCATTTTTATGTGCCTGTATGCCATAAGCTGCTATAAATCATACTTGTGCATGGATACAGCTGAGGTACCGCCCATGAAAGCATACTGCATTTTTATACAGCCAAGTGCTGCAATACCGTGGCTACAAGGTACATGTATGCCGAAATCGTACTTTATAGCGACAAACCGTGGCTATATGGCTCTTATGGTGCTGCACATTCTGATAAACTTCAATCTCGACGCAAGACAATCTCGACTTGCAAAACGCTTTTGTAAACAATTATACCACTGTAAATCATATGGAATTCCAGGGGCCGGTTGTATAAAAACGTAGTTAGCGCTAACTGCAGTTAAAAAGTAGTTAAAAAGTAGTTAACTTTAATCACGTAGTTAAGCCGGTTGTATAAAAGTGTAGTTAGCCTTAACTGCAGTTAAAAAGTAGTTAAAGTTAACTATACTTTAGGGTATAGTTAACTGTCCAAAATGTAGTTAAAAATGGCGTTTGTATAGGAGTGAACAACATTTTTCAGTTAAACAATAATGAAAAGCAACGTTTACCTGAGATTTTCAATCGCTATCTTCCCTGTGAATGTTTCCTGACAATATAAACTCTTCAAACGCTATCGCTTTGGTGTTTTTACGAAAACAGAACATATTTTTGCACAGGACGATTTCTCGAAGACGAAGTATGGTCCATTACACCAAGAAACACTGATATATAATTGCCAAACAGCTATACTTTAGTTTAACGTAGACATCTCAAGGAAAACTGCATTCTTTTATGATTTTTGTGGCGGTCGGATCCTTGTTTTTTGTTTATTTTTCACTGTTTTCTAGTGTTTTGAATAAAATTCCCGCCTATTTGCAAAATACGAGTCCACAATCATGTTGAAAATGTGTGTCAGCGGTCGTTACTCGCTGCTTACTTTATGTAATTTTGTGTTTAAACGCCCCACGCACAGTTAACTACGTGATTAGTTAACTATCCGACTAACTACGTTTTGTGCAACGCAGTTAAGTCATGTAGTTAACTAATTACAGTTAAGGATTTAACTACAGTGATTAACGCTAACTACAGTTAGCGCTAACTACGTTTTTATACAACCGGCCCCAGTATACGAGATGTCAAAAATTTCCTGCAAGTTGTAAGAAAATTTCCTGTAAAGATATTTTGTTAAAAATGCCTGGCAGGGATGCTGCTGGTGCTGCCGGACATTTTCCAGCACTGATTAAAGGTTTACATGTTCACGTGCTGCTAGCTTTTTCTAACTTAAAATTATGCAGTTAATATGCAATTCTTATGAGGTTGAAATGTGCATTCATATGATAGACCTGGGAAATTTTCGCTGCAAAATACCATGGTCATATACTACAAAACCACGTCCCTGATTGGACAAGTTTGCAACCTCGCTCACAGGCCCTTTTCCCTTTCTAACGAGGGTGGAACAGTAAGGTATAGTGTGGTAATAAAACTGATATATGCATATTTTATCAAGAGTGCGAGCTGCAGAGGCTGGTGATAGAGCGAAAGTACTGGAGGAATTCTGGCACCGAAAGCGTGCAGCACTTGCAAATAAGAATAGAGGTGGAAAACCCATTGGAGGACCTTCAGTCGTAAGCACATTTGTCATTTTATAAATATGACTTGTATCTCATGTAAAGAGTCAGGCTACAGTCAAATTACCTTGAGCTCGCAATTTCCTAATTTAGGTCAACCAAAAAATAGTTATATTAAAAATGTTCAATTATTTTTTCTCATTCTACTTCGCCATTGGTCTACGTCGCTACGAAGTCACGTGAGATAGCGAGCGGGAGTTCGAGCTTCAGTTGCGTAAAGGATTTCGAGCAGACAGTACTTTTTCTCTTTTTTTTTTGAAAGCGGACGACGATTTGTACGCTGGGGAATCCAAAGAAATTCTTGACGAGCCTTGTGAGAACGATTTTGCGAATGCTCTTCTGAATATAAACAGCACAATTCTGACCATGGGCGAATCGCTCAAACGACTACACCAGCAACAGGACAAGTTGCTAAACTCGGCAGAATCTGCCAAAAAAGCCAAATTGGCCAATGTTCGACAGTCTGAATCAGACACAAATGACGCCTCTGACTCAGAGGAGTTACTAGACACTACAGAAAGCGACAAAGCAGCCACCGAAGCTGTTCAAAGCGAGGAAAACGACGCCTTACTCGCTCAACGAAGAAGAAAAAACTGAAAATCCCGTCTCAGCGAAACTAGCGAACATTGCCAACAAACGTTGGCTCCAAAAGCTTGGTGATGAACAACTTAAAAAGAAATTTGAAAAATATTACCGCCCTGCAAACTGCGAGAAACTCGCCGTGAACCAAGTCAACCCGGAAATCTGGGGGAAGCTTGATAGTTTTGCAAGGGCAAAAGATCTAAAATTTTCCCGCCTTCAGGAACAAGGTACGAAGGTCGGGCATATTATCTTAAAGAGCACAGAACACTTGCTACAAGCAAAAGCTGATAGCACAAAACTTTGCCTGGATGACCTTGTCAGAATGAATACCGATGCATTAGCATTGCTCGGTCATGTTTGTTTTGAAATCACTCATCGACGACGTGAAAGCATCAAGCCAAGTTTACATAAAGACTACGCCATGTTGTGTTCGTCTAACGTGGCCGTAACAAATCTCCTGTTTGGCGATGATCTGCAAACAGAGCTCACGCACATTCGGGCTACAAATAAAATTGGATCCACTGCAAGTATCTCGAGACCTCAAGGGCAAAGTCGAGGTTTTCAAAACCCTATGCCTCGCCAAGGGCGACCTTTTTTAGGGCGAGCGCCTCAGCCGTACGGTCGAACGACGACATACAAATACCGCGGCAATCAGAGGCGCCAATTCAACCAATACAACCACGACAAGAAACGACAGGATCCTCAATCGAGGAAATAAACACCATCATTGAACATTTACCTTCAATTGAGGTGAGCAAATACACAATATTTCTCCCGCGTCTTGTTGAATATTTTAAATGTCAAGTTAGCTCATTTAAAGCTGGGCGAATCGCCCACTATTTAGACACGTGAAAGAAAATCACTTCTGACGCAGAAATTCTAACGTCTGTATCAGGCGAAATGTTCCCATTTATACGTACTCCAGTTCAGAATACTATCCCTTTCCAACCAGAATGGAAGGGAACAAAAAATTCAATTATTGACAACGAAATATTATCGTTGTTAAGCAAGGGGGTCATCACCCACTCTAAACCATGAACCTGGCGAGTTTATCTCTCATATTTTTCTTCGTGAAAAACGCGATGGGTCATTTTGCATGATACTAAATTAAAAAAAACTCAATATGTTGAGTACAATCATTTCAAAATGGAAACTGTCTGGACAGCTATTTCTCTGATGAAGCCAGGGTGCTACATGGCATCAATTGACCTCAAAGATGCCTACTACTGTGTTCCTGTTGATCAAGCACACCAGAAATATCTAAAATTTATGTGGAAAGGCACCCTTTACCAATATACTTGTTACCCAAATGGGTTAGCCTGCTGTCCCAGAAAATTTACCAAACTAATGAAGCCAGTATATTGCACCCTCAGGCAGGCAGGCCATTTGTCAGTGGGGTACATTGATGATTCGTACCTCCAAGGGAATGATTATGATCAATGTCTTGAAAACATCAAAGCTACAATAACATTGTTTAGCAAATTGGGGCTAGTCACTCACCCAGACAAATCAATACTACAACCCACAAAACAAATTGTATTTTTGGGTTTTCAGCTCAATTCCCTTACTATGACAGTTTCTCTTACACCTGAAAAAGCTTGTAAAGTGAAAGATGCTTGTGCAAATTTGTTGATAAATGCTTCACCCACTATACGAGAGGTATCCCAAGTGTTAGGGTTATTAACCTCAAGTATGCCTGGGGTAATGCATGGGCCTTTGCACTATAGGTGGCTGGATATGGATAAATCACAGGCACTACACTTCAACAAGGGGGACTTTGATAAAATCATGGTGTTATCCCCTCAAGCAAAGGCAGACCTAAAATGGTGGGCTGACTCCATAGAAATTGCCTACAATGTTGTGAGTCATGGGGAGCCTGTCCTTACCCTGGCTACAGATGCATCCAAAATAGGGTGGGGGTGCACAACACAAGATACTCCCACTGGAGGCCATTGGACTCCAGAAGAGGCTTCAAATCACATTAATTATTTAGAAATCAAAGCGGTCTTGCTTGGTTTACAGTCATTCGATCGACAAAGTGGTTGGCGGCAAGCATGTCAAAGTTCTTGTCGACAATACCACTGCTGTGTCATGTATAAATCAAATGGGTACATGCCATTCTAAGGATTTAAATTGCTTAGTTATCAGTATCTGGGAGTGGTGCATAATTCATAGTGTCTGGCTAACTGTTGCCCACATTCCTGGTACTGAGAATGTGATTGCTGACCAAGAATCTAGAAAAATCAGATCCGAAACAGAATGGGCTTTAGATTTACGTACCTTCCAAAGGGCAGTAAAAGAGTGTGGATTCACACCAAATATAGACTTGTTTGCTTCCCGCTTAAATATCAAGTGCACAAAATATGTCTCATACCGTCCCGACCCTGGGGCACAGGCAGTCAATGCCTTCACAATTCCTTGGGGTAACCTTCAGTTCTATGCCTTTCCCCCGTTTAGTATTATTCTGAAAGTCTTGCGCAAGGTGAATTGTGAGATAGCCACAGGACTCATAGTTGTGCCCCACTGGCCGACACAGTCTTGGTGGCCTTACTTAACAGATATGCTCATTGCAAAACCCATTATTTTACCTAGAAAACCAGACCTTTTGTACCTACCGTCAGAGCCTCAAAGGATTCATCCACTCAGCAAGACAATCAGACTTCTACTATGCAAAGTGTCAGGCGATTACATGTATCATACTACAGTCCTGGAGAGATGGTACTAGGAAACAGTATACAACATACCTGCGACAGTGGGAACAGTACTGTCGTCAGTAGGAGATTGATACCTTTTCAGCAACTGACACAGGGTATCAATTTTCTCAGTGAACTTTACGGGAACAATAACCTATCCTACAGTGCAATGAACACAGCTAGATCTGCATTATCCTTGGTTATATTTCTTCCTGAGGGCTGTACATTTGGAAACCAACCCCTAGTGTGCCGACTGCTTAAAGGCGTTTTTACAACAAGACCATCATTGCCACGATGTCATTGTGTGTGGGATGTAGCGATTGTGCTAAAGTACTTAAAGACACTACATCCATTAGAGGACTTGCACCTCCGGGACCTTACTTTGAGAATAACCATGCTAATAGCATTGCTCTCTGGCCAACGTTGTCAAACCATTCACTCGCTGGATATCAGTGATATGCAAGTGGTACGCCATCCAAACCAGCAGTATGTTTTCCAGATAAACAAGCTATTGAAAACCTCAAGACCTGGGAAACACTTCAGCCATTTGGCTCTGCAAGCATATCCGGCAGATGAACAGCTATGCATTTTCAAAACTATTGAAGTCTACTTGGCAAAAACGAAGCCCCTTAGAGGCAACCACACTCAACTGTTGATAAGCTACCAGCAGCCACATAAGCCAGTGACAACTGATACCATTGCAAGGTGGCTGGAAACAGTTCTGGACAAAGCAGGAATTGACACTAATATTTTCCATGCACATAGTACCAGAGCAGCATCAACATCTGCTGCAAAGACGGCAAAATTATCTGTTAACACCATCATGACGGCAGCTGGGTGGACAAATGCTTTGACATTTAGCAAATTCTATGACAAACCAGTTATTTCAGAATCTACTAAGAACTCTGAAAACTTCGGACATAACTTACTGCAATCATTAAATATTACATAGAGCAATTTCAGTTGTGAGTTGTTAATAAAAGTTCCTTGTTTGGGTTTATCAATAGAGAATTTGTATTGTTTTTTCTTTCATGCTAATGGCCATTGCTTTCAAATCTCACGTGACTTCGTAGCGACGTAGACCAATGGCGAAGTAGAATTAGAAAATTAAACGAGACTTACCTGGAAGTTGAAGTTTGATTGAAATTCTACGAGTCATTGGTCAGGAGCGAAGAAGTCACGCACCCACCCTTTCACATTGTGGACTAGCATAAACTGCTATTAATAATTACCCTACCCATTATACAGCAGTTTTGAATGACCATTAGCATGCCTTTAAAGACTGAAGCTCGAAGTCCCGCTCGCTATCTCACGTGACTTCTTCGCTCCTGACCAATGACTCGTAGAATTCCAATCAAGCTTCAACTTCCAGGTAAGTCTCGTTTAATTTTCTAATTTTCAGTCAAACGCGGATTTTTTGTCACTTCTGGCTAACACCCTGCTAGTATATAGGTACATACATGCAGGGGCGAATGGCTGAAGATGGGAGCTATGCAGCAGCGCTATATCTCCATTGTATAAAGGGCTAGCTTAAAAATTAGCTGAATTTATATAGTTGAATTAGAAATTCAGGAATTACAGAGCAACTCCAAAAATCATGTGGAGGCAGTGGAGCTGGAGTGCATGCCCAAGTTTGTAAACTTCAATAGTTACTGACTAATAACTCGTGAAACTAACTATCCAAGAGTTACACCGCACAATAGAGCAAGAAAAATGATGTGGAGCCATGCAGTTAGCTAATGGCTAGGCGGAATAGACTATGAGCTCCATTCGAAGACTGGCTATATACCTCCACAAATATAAAATCAAGCCAACCTTATTCTTTATGTATTATTGTGCAATAGCATGAGTAAAGGCTTCGGATTGCGTTATCACGGTGTTGTTAAACCAGGCGCACAAGATGCGATTTTAGTCGGCTACGTACATGATATTTAGCGGAGCCAATAAAAAGGACGGAGGATTAATGAGCTCACGATTCTCACCACTGACTCTAAACCATAAATCGGCCGCCAGGCTTTAGGTTGCTATGATTTCCATTGTTCATTATCTTTTATTGTTATTATCAACCACTCACAAAGCCCATTCATATAGGTGGGTGGCGACCCAACACTGATCGATTTTGTTTGAACAAGCTACATAATCACAAAATATGTACATTGAGGTTGGCATTTGCACGACGAATTTTCACACGTTTTGCGTTTACCCCATAAATGAACTAGTTATACTGTAATTCCCCAACATTGATTGTTACTTATCGTGAGTGAGTTTATTTCTGTTCAATTTCCTTTAGAAGGCAAATAATCTGGCTCCTGTACCAGCTCCTGCACCTGGCATTTCAGGTATTAAGATAAGATAAGACTACGACAACGGTGCCGAAGAGTCGCAATTAGCTTCGCACTACGCTGGAGCGAAATTGTTTGAAAACGTCACTTTTGTCGTAACAATTTGAGCACAGTATTTAAACGGAGCGAGACGAACGGAAGGCTTGGCGGCTGGTGTGAAGACAAAAACGCCGTTACTTTTTTGTACCGGGTTTGCAAACCAAGAATCTCGGGTCTCAAAACAGTAAATTCGAATGCTTTTCGTTTAATTTTCTTTGCTTTATTTGAACTGTTTTGGGTTTACGCGAGTGCTAATTTAATTTGTAAACAAACTGTCACGACATAGTGTGGTGCTTATATTTCGCTCCGGTGTAACTTTATTTAAGGTTACAGGACACCCTTTTTGGCGTTTTGCGGAAAATCGCTACTGCATGCGCGCTCAATATCAACCGATTTTCATCAAATTTTCACCAAATGTTCTCCAGTGCATGCAAAATATGGTAAAGTTGTAAAATTAACAAACAATAAGATAATGTAAGAATTATTCAGGAAAATCTTAAATCGCGGTACCTTTACGCTTTTGAGTTGTGCTCCTGCTGGTTTTAAGTTATATTTATGAAAATATCATTTTTATACAGTAAAATAGTTGTTCTAAAAACTTGTGTTCGGAAATTTTTGTTTATTTCGTCGTTCCGCTGATATGGCGATTTCTTTGACGACTGCAATATATTTCTGAATTGTTTGAGTGAATTGCTCTTTATTCTTAAAATATCTAAAATTTAAAAAAAAGCCGAACACAATTTTGAAACTGACGTATTTAGCTATGTCCTCTGAAAATTTGAGAAAAATTGGTTAAAACCATTGAACTAAAAATAACTGGAACGCTACGTTCAGTAAATTGTGCATGCAAGTTTTGAAGCCAAAATTTGACTCCCATGAAGCCAGTTTTGACTCCCAGACACGCACTTCCACGCGTGTTTCTACTGCGCGATTTACCCACAAGACAATGCAGGGGGCGATCGAAGTGTGCCGTTTTGAACGTTTTCATGGCAAGATGCGAATCGAAAGGGAAAGGGGCCTTTTCTTTCAAAACGGGCCTTTTAAAGCCTGTGTACGACCTTGTATAATTTAGCTTCAAACTTCCGCTTGAACGTAGCGTTCCAGTTATTTTTAGTTCAATGGTTAAAACCCGCAGGAGCACAACTCGTTTGAAAATCAGTAATTACCGTAAAATTTTTCTTGAGAAAATTAAATATTACATTTTCAATGTTTTTCTTATTGCAGACGAAATGTATTTTATTAAATAACTCTGCGAGTTTTCAACATTTTTCGTTCAAACTTGGTCAGATAGTGGAACTAGTCTAATGCTTTCATTGAAACCAATAAAAAATTTTAGGCAAAATTAACACTCAAAGGTGTTCTGTAACCTTAAATTGATTACAACACTTGCGCTAAGGCCTAAAGATGTAAACTAGCCTTAGTATAGATCCATGCACCATGCATGCAGTGAGTGAGTTTATTTCTGTGGCACACCCACAACACAGACACGCTTTTTCGTCACATAATTGTGTGATTATAAATAAAAAATAATTCCACATTTATGTACCAGATAAAACATGAGCAGCCGATCTGTATCTGATATACAAACTCGAGGCGAGAGTTTGTATATCAGATACAGATCGTACTTAAAAAATGACCCATCTTATGAGTTCATTGGCAAAGTAATTTTAAAAATAAACATTGTCTAAGCCGAGAAAATCAAAGCTGAAGTTTATGTAAATCAGGACAAATCTTTATCCGATTTACAAACATTGATTAAACATTCATTTCTTTTGTATTTTCCTCGTGAATTATTAATGAATTTTTTAAATAATAATATATAATAAGCAATAATACAGCTGAGCATTTCAGTCAGAAAAGGTATTGTACAATATCTAAATATCGTTTCTCATTTTCAGGGAACATATCGAACATTAGACTGCGTAAAGTACGGGTCACAAATTTCTATTATATCTAACACTAGTTTTTGTGACGCTAATTTCTTGATTACGAAAGAAAAACCCTAAAACTGTTTCCTTGCTATTATTTTTCTAACTATCCGTGCTGGTACACCGCGTGTATAAATGTAGCTACTACATTTGCCTTATTTACGCTTGTGTGGTGGTTTTATACCTGTGTATGCACATGCTATTCCATTGAACACTGCCTGCCCTTTATTTTATAGCTCTTCGTGGTAAGGATGTTGATCAAGTGAAACACAGTAATCCAGCAGAGCAGGTTTGAAGCTTTAATATCCAACCGAATTTTAATATTTAACAGTTATTGAAGCCGAAGGTTGAGTTGGATAACACAAACTGAGGGCTTGATAATTCTTCATATCTGGCGAAAATTAAATCCCTGATTATTTTATTCGAACTGCTCGGATTTGGAATAAACTGTAACATCGTCCACGGTATCAGAAAATTTAAGTCAATTCAAGAGCAATGTTATTACAAGAATTGCTAAAAATTATGATTGCACTGAAGACTATGACTGGAAACTTGAGTATGACATTGTTCACTTCTAAACTCTTTAAAGCAAACACAGTGTTGTAAATTTTATCGACTATCGTATCCAATTCTTATTAATGGGGCGCTGTTTTTCGGCTTCGACCATGTTGTTGGTACCTGGCATTTTGTAATTTAGTTTAGTGTTTGAAGTAAGTATCAATGAAAATCTCTGTCATGGTTTTGCCAGTTCCTATAGGAAAAAAATACAATTATTATAGTTTTGATATCGAAATATTTATTGTCGTTTGATTTAGGACTATTTGACAAGATTAGAAGCGATAAGAAAACAAAACTACAGAGAACGAATAGCGATTCAGCAACGTATGGCTAAAGTTCGTGGCCCAGTTGCCAAGGTAATATTTCTCCCGCTCTACATAATTAATTTGTACTTTTTCAGATTCATCCAATCTGCGAATTTAATAATAATAATAAAAGCTTTTATAATTGAAACACGGGCACGATAATATATGATGACGTAAACGGGTTTCTAGAACGTAATTTACAACGGTAACCACTATGGTACTTTTTATGTACTATTTGAGACATGAACAGAAGTGTTTTATCAGATATATAGAGATACGAGGCGAAGCCGAGTATCTTAGGTCTGGTAAAACACGCACTGGGAATGTTTTAAATTGCTTCAAAAACGATCGATCTAGTAAGTTCATTGGCGAAGTAATTTTCAAAAAATACGTTGTGTGTAAGTCGAGAAAATCAAAGTTAACGTTTATGCATCATTTTAACCTGTTAGTGTTATGCGATGTTATGACCATGCATGTTCGCCGGTTGAATTTAATAGCAATAAATTTGAGAAGCATGGGCTGGAGCAAATTGATTCGGAGACTTTACGGAAAGCCGTTCACAAGACTTTTTTCGGAATTCATATTTGTTCGGATACGAAGTTCCCACAAACTTTTCCGGATTCGAAAGTACCGGATTTATACTCAATCTGTGACCATTTTGTATCGGATTCATGCTCATTAGGGTGAATGGCAAGATCAATCCGATATAAAAACACCTCTGATTTGTATAAAGAATCCGAAAACGTTTGCTCTAGTGTAAACGTTGTCTTTATAAATCCTGAAATTAGGGCAAATAATCGTACATTAATTTCAGGATTTATATGACAGTGATTCCTATTTTAAGATGTATTTTAAATGTTTAGCCATCATCTGGTGGTGAAAATGGTGATCCAAGAGTTGATCCTGATGCCAGAAGAAAGAAGATCGCCGCTCTGAAGGTTCGGTATATATAAAATGTATGGGGTGTGAGTGGAGTATGAGAGTGTGGGTGACCGTGGTTAGTGCACAGTGTGCAGTAATCTGATGATTGCTTTTAGTTTAAATCTTCAAAAAACCCCAGATATTCTCCGGGTATTCCATGCAGTTGCCCCTCTTTAGCGGACTATGTTAGTACTGTATGGTTAAATGAGGTTTATCATAATACTGGATTTCCGATCCCATTGTACCTCTATCTGCCAAGCCTAGGAGTGATACGCAAACTCCCTATAGCTCTCCCTGCATTTCCCCAGCAACCCTCCCCCGTAAATCCATCCCTGAGTTATGCCAGCCAAGAAACAACTGCATTGCTTGTTTTCCTAGCCTATGTCATAGATTCTAGAGCTGGATTCCTCATGGAGTCTATGCAACGCCACGCACACGTAATGTGCGTTTGCGTTTTTACATATATTAACCTTAGTCTAGGACCTGTATATGAGTTTGTATGCGTTTCATTTACCACAGGTAATCTCAACTGTTTTAGGGTAAAATGACCATGGCGGTCAACATGGCATATGTGCCAAAACCTGAATCCTGGACGAAAGTCCTGAAAATGACCCCGCCCTGAAACGGCAGTGCCGACATAGCTCTAACTTCCGAAAAGCAAAAGCGACAGCCTTTCTGAAGTGCTTATAGTGTTTCGAAGGGTTACTTTTAGGGGTGGTTATTGGAAGGAAAAATTTGTGGAAGTATAATATTTTACAAGAAAATGACCATTTATCACCCCAGGTAAATTGCTGATTATGCAGAAAATAACTAATATACATGGCAGAAATTAAATATCCTTATTTCCTAAAAAAAATTACCATGGGATGAAAAATTATGCTTAATTTAATATAATTATTGTAGTTTTCATAAGGATAGTCACTGTTTTCTATAAATATAATATATTTTATTTCACTTACCCCCCACGAAAACACGATTTCAGCCATATTTTGCCGTCTTGTTTGCTTTATATCGCCGTGTCTCGCAAATAACATCCACTTGTTATACTTTTACATAATGGCAAATGGCTAAAGGAGATTTCAACCAAGTTTCGGCAAGTTTTGGAGCAGTGCAGTGTATTTTATCTTCGATATTGTGTCCTTCGATATTTCGTCCATATGCCGCCATTTTAATAGCTCGCCGATTCTCTGCCCGATAAATGCCACTTCTTCGTCTTCATATGTATTTAGATTACAGTATCCAAGAGTACTTCATTGTAGAATAGTCCTAAAAGAAAAATTGAAAAAATTACTTGCACTTTGAAGGAAAAAACCTCCCACAACAAATTCAGGATAGGAATAAAAACAAATCATTTGAAAGTCACGCGCAATCTTCGCGAAAATTCCTCGTGGCTACTTGACAGGGGGGGCGAATATTTTCACGAAACGTTGTTCCCACAGCAACCTAACTGGATATCTGGATATATTATATTTATTGCATTTTTATGATTGATAATAAAAATACGTAAATATTTAATGTTTTTAATTTTTATTTTTAAATCATAAAATACAATAAATACAATATATTTAGTTGAAACTTGAATTGCTGTGGTGGCGAACAACGTTTCGTGAAAATATTCGCCCCCCCCTGTCAAGGAATTTTCGCGAAGATTGCGCGTGACTTTCAAATGATTTGTTTTTATTCCTATCCTGAATTTGTTGTGGGAGGTTTTTTCCTTCAAAGTGCAAGTAATTTTTTCAATTTTTCTTTTAGGACTATTCTACAATGAAGTACTCTTGGATACTGTAATCTAAATACATATGAAGACGAAGAAGTGGCATTTATCGGGCAGAGAATCGGCGAGCTATTAAAATGGCGGCATATGGACGAAATATCGAAGGACACAATATCGAAGATAAAATACACTGCACTGCTCCAAAACTTGCCGAAACTTGGTTGAAATCTCCTTTAGCCATTTGCCATTATGTAAAAGTACAACAACTGGATGTTATTTGCGAGACACGGCAATATAACGCAAACAAGACGGCAAAATATGGCTGAAATCGTGTTTTCGTGGGGGGTAAGTGAAATAAAATATATTATATTTATAGAAAACAGTGACTATTCTTATGAAAACTACAATAATTATATTAAATTAAGCATAGTTTTTCATCCCATGGTAATTTTTTTTAGGAAATAAGGATATTTAATTTCTGCCATGTATATTAGTTATTTTCTGCATAATCAGCAATTTACCTGGGGTGATAAATGGTCATTTTCTTGTAAAATATTATACTTACACAAATTTTTCCTTCCAATAACCACCCCTAAAAGCACCCTTCTAAACACTATAAGCACTTCAGAAAGGTTGTCGCTTTTGCTTTTCGGAAGTTAGAGCTATGTCGACACTGCCGTTTCAGGGCGGGGTCATTTTCAGGACTTTCGTCCAGGATTAGGTTTTGGCACATATGCCATGGTCATTTTACCCTAAAACAGTTGAGATTACCTGTGGTAAATGAAACGCATACAAACTCATATACAGGTCCTAGACTAATAACGCAACAGCTTAAGAGGCTGTCTCCGTAAAAACCTCCAGGTCAATATGGGGCTCAAAAATAGACTTCTCTCATACTGTAGTATTTTGAAGATCTATCCTTGGGAACAACTAAAATCGATTTCATTTTACTCAAATTGCCATTAAATTATTTTTGGGGGCGATTGATGTTCGATCGACTGGTAACCAACTTGAACTCCGAATGAAGGCAAAATATCGACATATTTTCAGCGGTATTTTTTAAATCAAATTCATACCTAAATTTCAAAATTTTTGCTCAGAAATATAGACTTATCCTTCTATCTTCGTTGGTGATATGACTTAGATAATTATTCTTTGGTATAAAATAGAAAACAGCTAGCGCAGTTATTGACCCTCCTGAACGGATAACGGATATCGTCTCAAAATATATCAACTTTGAAAGCTTATTTCAAAATCGTGGCACCTGATTGGCACATGACTTTAACTTTTCTATAAACTACTAACATTAGTCAACACAAATCGCCAATAATATCTTTCTGATTTGGCATAGTACAAAACATGGACTGGACTGGACTGGGAAGTTGGACTGGACAGTTGGACTGGACTGGGCAGTTGGACTGGACAGTTGGACTGGAGAGTTGGACTGGACTGGACAGTTGGACTGGACTGATTTTTAAATTTTCTCTATTCTTGACTTGCACGTCAGCCGCCATGTCGGGCAGGGCCGCCGCGAGGTTGGCGGGGCCCGGGGCAAGTTTTTTTTAAGGGCCCGTATTTCAAATTTTTTTTTGGAAAAAATTATTTTCGGTTAACAACCTCCCCTCCCAGGGGCCCCCAGCAACTCGGGGCCCAGGGCAATCCCCCCCCCCTGCCCCCCTCTCGGCAGCCCGATGTCGGGTGACATGGCACAAAATAATATTTTATCACGGAATAGATATATCATGTCATGTCTATTTTGTGATTTTATCAATGAACATTGTCTGGTGTGTACCAGGAGGAGATTGGTTGTATAAAATCAAGAATATTTGCACCTGAATTACTTTTGATTTTCGGAAATTTTTGAAATACTTTACCTTTGCCGATGACCTCATTTTATAACTGTAGTCGGGAATCTCTTAAAGCAAAAGAAACCTCAGTAAGTAGAATAGAATAGAATACCAAACGTAAACTACTTATCTGTCTTTGCTATGGGTAGCTTGCTCGCATACGTATTAAATTTCGATATTTCAGTCTGCATGGCCAATGGGCGTAGAAAGATCGATAATTGGGGGCTCATATTCATATATTCGTGTTCTCCATCATTTACTTCTTTTGAAATTGATTGTTTTTACAGTCTGCGAACATGAATATATGAATATGAGCCCCCCCCCAAAAAAAAATAATAAATCGACCTTCCTACGCCCATGGCCATGCAGACTGAAATAACGAAATTTAATACGTATGCGAGCAGGCTACCCAAAGCAAAGACAGATAAGTAGTTTATGTTTGGTATTGTATTCTATTCTATTCTACTTACTGGGGTTTCTTTCGCTTTAAGAGATTCCCGACTACAGTTATAAAATGAGGTCATCGGCGAATGTAAAGTATTTCAAAAATTTCCGAAAATCAAAAGTAATTCAGGTGCAAAACGTTATATTCTTGACTTGCAACCAATCTCCTCCTGGTACACACCAGGCAATGTTCATTGATAAAATCACAAAATGGACTTGTCTGTCATGGTATATCTGTTCTGTGATAAAATATTCTTTTGTGCCATGCCACCTGACATGGCGGCTGACGTGCAAGTCAAGAATAGAGAAAATGTAAAAATCAGTCCAGTCCAACTGTCCAGTCCAGTCCAGTCCATGCTTTGTACTATGCCTTCTGATTTACCATTTGACAAAAAATGACAAGCGCGCAAACTTTGTAAAATTTGAAAATGTGTCGAAATCGAGCATACTTTATCGGTAAACCTAATTGTTGATATTAACAAATAAAACCACCTTACCATCTATGCACCTTACACTACACTGAACGAAGCTTGATTATGTAAATATATGTCTTTCATCATTATTCTTTGGTTTTGCACTCGAAAAAAATTGTTTGAGTGCAGTTTGGCTTCAAGGATAGCCATTCAATGCCAGTGGGTCCAGTGTGTTCGAATTCTGCGCGCCTCAATGCCATGAGTCCTGATTGTGACATACGAACTTCGCTCTGTTCGCTTTGTTTACCTCCTGTAAATAAAATGTCTCAAAGAAATAAGAAAATTCAGAATTAGTCATACTACAGACATAATTTTCATTGGTTTGTTTACCTTAAACTGTTATATAAAGTTTCGTTTTATTGAATGTACGAAATAATTAATCTCGGGGAAAACTCCTGGCGAAAGAAATGTACTCGCTGATCGTAAACATGTCAATCAAAGCATACAGTTAATATCAAAGACGATGAAATGTTTCGTTGCTCTCTGATTTCCCTTTCTTTGTATTGCATTAAATAGTAGTCTTAGACAGTATTGCACGAGGTTTTTGTGGTTACAATATTGTTCTTTTCTGTACTAATTCGCGATTACATATGGTGTTCACTACTACTACAGCCGCAATTTGTGGTCGCGCAACGTTAGGTAAACCTAAACGATTTCGACAGACAGTAGATTTTATGTTGATAGATGAGAATGACGGTAAGCAATAATGTAGAAATGTTCCTTTTCTACTTCTGAGGCCTGTTTCATACGTCGCGC